TGAAGCCAGATTTGCCATGCACTCATTTCTTGTCAACGACCAGTGGTTGACAGGAGGGGTCTTCTATGGATACGCACAACAAGCCGCCACACAGGAAGGTAGGAACCACACAAATGCCTTGATGGAAAAAGTGGTAGATAGGTTACTCATGGCCAAAGGAAAGCGATTCCTTGTGGGTGACTTTAACCAAGAATATGATGTGCTCGAACAGCCAAAGCGACTATATGACCAAGGATGGAGAGAGTGCCAAGTCCTCGGAAAAGAAAAATACGCCCGACCAATTTCAAAAACTTGCCACAAAACTACTACGAAAGACTTCATTTGGATTAGCCCGGAATTAATCCCTTTCTTCCATAAAGTAGAAACTTTTGATCAATTCCCAGATCACCTTACGCTCTTTGCTGAGTTCACAAACCTTGGTAAACCCCCTAAATCTTTTGTTTGGAGGCAGCCACGTGCCATTGACTGGTCAAAAGACATTGGCATTTTGCCAGAAACGTCCACCCATACCAATCCAGATGATTGCACGCAAAAGCAGCTTGAAGCCATTGCTAAAGGGTTTGAAGATGTCGTAAATGACAAAATGATCACTAAATCCCAAAAAGGGTTACAAACTTGCCAGCGGGGCAGATCCCTCACAACGCAGACGAAGGTCATTCAAGACCACACCAGGCCACTCCAACCCACCAGGCATGGCCATGTGAAGCCTGAATATCATGGTCAATGCCTCAGACACCAACAGTGGTATAAACAAATGAGAAGACTAGAATCCATCAAGCGCCTTATTCACAGCAATAATTTTGCTTCACAAAATCAGCAGATACATGCCCAACGTGAATGGAGAAGTATAATCACTAGCTCCGGTTTCCCATTCGGTTTCCAAAATTGGTGGAAAAAATGCCCAACCATGACTGCGGGTGCTCCCCGGGAACTGGGATGGCAGATACCCACCCTTCACGAAATTGACCAAATTGTTTCTATATTTGAAGCCAGCTTTAGGGACTTTGAAAAAATCCTCATCCGCGACCTGCAGAATACCGCAAGAGCCAATCGGGTCGCCAACCCAAATCGAATCTTTGCAGACATTAAATTGCCCACAGCTTCCCCAGTCGAAATATTAGATGACTCATGCAGCTGTGAAGTTTTGGACATAGACCTTGAAGATAACTCCATAACCCTGTCCAATAATCCCCAGTTTGATGATAGTCTACCAATCATCTCCCCAGATGGATTGATTGACCCCATAATCTGCTCCGATGACAAAATTTGGGCTGAAAAAGTTGACCATATTCAAATCGGAACCACCTTGCGTCAAGAAAAGTTTGTAGGAGACCTGGAGGAGCTCTTCCGGAGATTCGGTGATGAGTGGCGGAAACGTTGGGACCGACATGTGGAGATGCCAGTTGACTATTGGGATCCAGTTGTAGCACACTTCACTAAGAACACACCACGAGGAGATCCCATGCCACATACCAAAATCAGCCTGGACACCTGGTACAACACACTCAAAAAGAAAAAGAGCCGGTCCGCCGTCGGACCAGATGGGTGGTCCCGGCAGGACCTACTACACATGCCGAAGTACCAAACACAAGTACTTCTCGACCTCCTATACGCCATTGAGTGTGGTAAGGAGTGGCCATCATCCCTACTGGTAGGACTAGTCCATAGTCTAGAAAAAATCCCAAACGCCTCAAAAATTTCCCAGTACCGGCCTATAACCCTGTTCAGTGTTATATATCGATGTTGGTCATCCATCAGGTCTCGTGAGATTCTTAGGCATGTTTCTCGATACGCCCCAACAGGATGTTTCGGAAATGTTCCAAATAGATCGGCATCGCAAGTCTGGATGGGAGTTCAAACTGCCATTGAAGCAGCCAATCATGATTCAACAACAATCTCAGGGGCTATAGTTGACGTGGTTAAATGTTTCAATCATCTACCACGCATCCCGATGATGGAGGTTATTACACATTTAGGAGTTCACCCCAACCTGGTATCAACGTGGTTTCGGGCACTACAAGGGATGGTCCGCCGATTCAGCATCAGGGGGTCAGCTGGACCACCCATAAAATCCAGCACAGGATGTGCGGAAGGTTGCGGATTAAGCGTGGTAGGGATGTTTGCCATAAATTGCCTCATCGATTGTTTCATGAAACACCGAGCCCCTGAAGTCAAACTCTTGTCTTTTGTTGATAACATGGAAGTTATCTCCAACAGGGCACACCTGACACGAGAAGGTTTGTATCAACTAAGGAGAATCACCGAACTTTTAGACATTCAACTCGACGAAAAGAAGACAGTTGTTTGGTCAAATGATAAAAAGGAAAGGAAATACCTCCGAGACAGTGAGCACCAAGTGGCAATGTGGACACGTGAATTAGGAGGACACGTACAGTTTTCCAAACAAATGACAAATAGTGTCATCACTAACAGAATCAAGAATTTCAAGTCCAGATGGCCCGACATTGCCAGATCCCAAGCACCGTACACCCAAAAACTGAAAGCCATTAAAATGGTGGCATGGCCCAATGCCCTTCATGGAATAACCTCGGTCCACTTAGGTGATGAACACTATGAACACCTGCGTACTGGAGCACTGCGGGGACTTGGGGAACATATGTGGGGGGCATCACCCGCCATACACCTTAGTCTAGTGGAACATCCTTCGGCCGACCCTGGTTTTCATGGAGTCCTCAAAAAAGTCATGGACTTCCGTTCCATGACAGAAGCAGATGCCTGCATTCCAGTATTGACCAAACTCGCTGAGCCCAATGACAGGAAAAAAACAACAGTAGGGCCGTGCAGTGTTTTGCTGCAGAGGCTGCATGCAATCAACTGGCACTGGGATGATGATACCTTTTGGGACCACAATGGTTTCGCAATTGACTTATGGCAGCAACCAATACAAGACATCAGACTGCGCCTGACAGAAGCGTGGCAAACCCAAGCGATGCATCATGTTGCACACAGAGCCTCATTCCAAGGGATTTCCCAAACTTCACCATACCTTACTACAGCAAATTTCCCGCAAAATTCCAGTGATGCCAGCATACTTAGGAAATGCCTCAACGGCACCTTTTTCACTGCTGACCATCAAAAATATCGGGATGCAGATGAAAGTACAGATTGCCCTTTTTGCCATAACGCAGACAGCCAATTTCACAGACATTGGGAATGCCCAAGCCTGGAAGATGCCAGAAAATCTATGCCTGAACACCACCGCCAACTGGCCATGCAGTCGCACCCTGCGACTTTCAACCACGGATGGATTCCAGCACCTGCAGCATTGCCTTATTTCCGACAAGCACTTCACAATATTCCTGACAACACCCATAATTTAATTATTCCCGAAATAGTCCCACCCACTTTAGACATTTTCACAGATGGGTCATGCCTTAACCCAGCCTGCAAAATGACCAGACTAGCATCTTGGGCAATTGTCCTTTACACGCCAGATAACCAACATGATTTCACACCAGTGGGAGCAAGTGTATTGCCGGGCCTGATCCAGACAATCACTAGAGCTGAACTGACAGCTGTCATAGCTGCTTTGATTCTTGCGGATCGTCTCCGTAAGCCATTTCGGTTGTGGATTGATAATGACTTTGTAGTAAATGAGTTGCGACAGGCTTTTGAAACACCTGATTTTTTCTTTTCCAAGATTTCTCACAAAACTGCCAATCATGATTTGCTATTGACCCTTCACCTGTGGGCCCACCGAACCAAACTCTTGTGTAAGGGAATTCTCAAAGTTTACAGCCACCAAGAGAACTATGAAGACGCAGACCCAGCTACTGAATTTGCAATCGCAGGTAACGCAGCGGCAGATGAGGCAGCAGGGAAAATCTGCCTTAGTTTTCCTCATGTACACAAACTATGGAAAGTGGTATCCAAGCAGGTTCGAGAGTTAGTAGCATTTCGTTGTTCTTTGCACACCATGTTTGTACAAGTTGGGAATCTTGCTTTGCGTTTAAAATCTCACCAGTCACGGGGAGTCTCTGTGGCACAAGGGCCGACCCACTCAGCTGAAACCATAGTGATGTCTCACTGGCGAGTTAGCCATTTGGGTGCCCCGCTTGCACCCTACATCACTGAGGACTGGGGTAAGATAGCGCAATGGATAGATACTATTCATGAGGATGGACAACCGATCCAGCTGTGGTCTTGGTATCAGCTTTATCTTGATCTTCAGGTATGTTACCCAAACACATCCCCATGGTATAAGAAAACTGTTAAAGCATGGCAAAATGGCCGAGATTGCCCGACAGTGCCTTTCAGGAAAAGGTGCCGATGGTTCATGAATTATGTCACACGCACATGGAAACACTTGAAGGTAGAGCCCCCCCTGCGACTTTGCAGGCCAACCTCTGACGTCTTGCAGTTCTGGTGCCCTTGTGTGACGGTCATGGTAAGTCCAGAACGAACAGCCGCAATTGACCAACAACTCGCGAGCTGCCGTGCACGATACGTGGAGTGGAAGGATCTCGATTTCTTCGGCATGTAGAAGTTTTGGGGGCTCAATGTAGTCCGCTTCGGCCGTCTACTTTGAGATCAGCAGGAAAAGTGATGGGAAAAGTGATGGTTAGGATTGGGGGAATCATCCTCAAATTTCTGCAAGTTTCAGGTCAGTGAACTATTACAATTTATCCAGATAGCTTGCTACTAAAGTGTTGCCGCCCCAATCAAACAGCCTACCGCTTCAACAGCAGTTGACATACCCGTTACAAGCCCCGTGGATGGCCATTCCAGGGCTTGTACAATTGCAGCAGGGATTGGGAATTTGACCAGCAGACACAGACACATTGTGGATTGAAGCTGATTTAAGCATCAAAAGGACGGTTAGCGGTTAGCTACAATAATATTGATGAAAATGAAAATGCTAATTAGACCAATACTCATGTTGCTGATGATGAATCTGCTAATAATAAGAAACCGCCAAAATGGGGAACCGACACCCCCAAATTTTTCTTCCGACCCGAAACCTGCCGGGGACACGCCAGAAGCCCCTTCGGAGACGGACGCCCGAGAGGAGGCCCCGGACACGGCAGATGAGGCCCGATCTGGAAGGATTCTCCGTGTGGTCAGTTTGGGGATAGAAATGGCCATAGAAATCACCAACCACAGGCCAGTTTGTCCAAAGAATCGATGAGAACAGTGCAACTCAACTGGAAATAATTGGAAATATAGGAAACAACAAGGACTTTGATCATTCGAGCCAATATAAGACTATAGACGCTGAGAATTTCACTGAGAATCACCCACTTTCAAAGAGTAGTAGTCTTCCAATCCCCATTTGGGCAAGATCTATGTCAGTTGTTCGAATGGGGGCCCCTGTTGGATATACTTCTTGCATCTTCTTGCTAGTTGGAGTCCATGGCCAATTCCAGCCAATTGGGGAGCGTTTTCCCATTTAAGCCCAAGAATGCACTGGTCACCAAAAATGTCCGGACACTCTGCAAAGCGCGAACTTTTGAGCTATGGAATTCTATGGAACTAGAATGAAACGGGAGATAAAGGGAGTAATTAGTAATGTGGGTAAAACAATCATAAACCATCACCCAAGTCACCCAAGTCACCATTTTTATAGGTGGTATATATATATATTATGATATATGTATATATAAACCATTCCCAGTCATTTTTGTGGTTTATGACATTCTTTTACCCACATTACCAAAGATTAAATTTTCCATGTTTCTTTGGCCTTCCAAAGATTCGTGAAGTTTTTGCCGTGTCAGGAACGACTGGAGATTCAGTCAGCTGCCAAGAAGGCTCATGGCTTCAATACATGGCGACGATGCAAGAAAAAGACAACCTGGGGATGGGTTGAAACCACATAATTATATATATAGAAGTAGATAGTAATATGATATATAACATAGGTGTTTTTTGTTTTGTGCTTGTTTGTGTGTGAATGTGTGTATGTTTGTTTGTTCGTTCAATGCTGGGAGGATGCTCCGCAGCTTAGCTTATGATATCCCCTTTCCCAGGCCCATAGCAACCCATCTACATAGAACTGGGGATATCTCCCATTTCCCATATTGTACCTGGTGAACACTGTTTATACATGGGATGTTTACCCATCTATGACAGGATTTATAGGTACAGTTCAACATTTCTACTCATTTTTTCCACACCGTATTTCTGACCTTCTCATTACCCTCTGGTAAACTAACAGTTCGCTATGGAAAATCACCATTTTTAATAGGTAAACAAACTATAAATGGCAATTTTCAATAGCTATGTTAGTTTACCAGAGGGTATTGCATATGTTTGCGTTTTCTTTGGTATATGTGCCATGGTCGAGTTACATGGCTTGTTTTCTCTTCTACGGACTGTCATGCCACCAGTAACCGTCGGACATCAGAATTGTTTTTTAGTGGGGAAGCGACCTCACGTCGTTCTCCCGAAGCCTGGAATCATGGTTAATAAAAGGAATCATCCCAAAATGGCCGAACTATTCAGGTTAGTGAATTATTATAATTTTCCCAGATTAGATAGACAGACATAGCCATTCATTGGTACTAGTTCATGTGTCCAGCGGCTATCATTATTGGTAATCATTCCATGAATGGATGTGACATCACAGATGGACAATGACCAATTACCATTATAGAATTCTATGAATAGTCATATTACCAATATCTTTTCATAGATTCTGTTATTGCTAAGATAAACAGTTATAGACATTCTGATTCTGTTAACAATTGTTGCTTGATTAATAAACACCAGATTCGATTCAGAATGGATGACAATCTTCATAAATCAATATAAATCATCCACAATTAATCATTCAGAGTCTTGATTCATACTTGTAATGTTTGATTCATGTTTATTTGTCTTGATTCTTGATTTTGTTTTGATTCATAAATCATCCACTATTGTCATAATTCTGAATCTTGATTCAATCATTGTGGATACATAAACTCATTCAATCATAATTCTCTGAATCAATCATTGTCATAATTGTCATCCACTATAAGAATTCATGGCTATAATTCTCCATCTATAACATAAATCAGCCATAGCTACAAGGTGGTGCCCCCCCAGTTATAAGTTGGTTTATAAACTTTATAAACCCCATTAACTATAGATATATCTACCATAAACCATAGTTATTGGAGTTATAAACCACCTTTAAATCATGGATTTTTCACTGCGGAGACTCATAGAAACACCTCAGGAGCCCGACGATTGTGGACCCTTGATGGGCAACCATCCAGCGGAGGTGCCCTGGATAGTTCTCTTGGGGATCGATCAGACCGAATTGTGACGCGGAAAAAGGTGACCCAATGGTGTTTTTAATGGTGATTTAATGGTGGTTAATGGTGATTTTATGGTGATTTTATGGTGATTTAATGGTGATTAATATGGGAATATCTATGGTTAATGGTGATTAATAGTGAATTAATGGTGATTTTCATGGTGGTTTTTTCATGGCTTATAGTGAATTAATGGACATATAACCTCTGGTTATGACTGTTACATAGCCATGGTTTTTCCATGGCCCTAATCGAAATAGATGATTTTCCCAGCTCGAAACCTCCATTTATGGTTGGGATTTTCCATGGCGAACTGTTAAATAACCAAATGGTAACTATGATAGCTACTATGGATAGGGGGATATACTTTTTTTTAAACTATTAGTCAGGGGGATTCTAGTTATTATAGTTTAATGAATATGCGGTGGGAAAACGATCATAGTATACTTTATTTGCTGGGAAATTCATATCCACTTACCAACTATTTTGACGTTCACCAGAGGGGATTTTGACCCATAGCCATCTACTGACCAACTAGATCGAAATGAACAGATATACAGCCATTTACCAGCCATTTACCCTCTGGTAAACGTTTACATAACTATGGAAAATCACCATTTTCAATGGGTAAATCCACTATAAATGGGTCATTTTCAATAGCTATGTTAAATTACCAGAGGGTATACATATTTATACCATGGCTATGTGAAAGTTCCAGAGGGTAGCACAGGTGCGCGCTCAAGTCCTCCGTTGCCTAAAGCAACGAAAGCGGCAGGCAGACCAGTGGTGTTAGCGGGCCTTATTGGAAACCGGTTTACCAACATAATTACCCCTGAAAAACACCCTGTTTTGTCGGCAAATCATGGTAGATATTAGCTGCAGCCAAGTTCACAGCCACAAATTCTGATTCGAACTCCTGGGGATGCCTTTTCGAGCTCAAGGGCATGTGGTCTCCAATCTACTCAGGTCCGAGGTATACCAGGTAAGCTACAAACCCATGGCCCAACTTGGCTGTTGATGAATGTGTCCATAGTTTTCCCAATGACACTGATTGGCAAATTGCAAGCTAAAGGTAGAACTCAGCATCCTTATCAGAAAATTTAAACCTCGCGGTCGCTGATTTCGCATCAGGTCAATGTATACCGCCAGTTTTTCTTTGGATTAATCTGATGCCTGACCCCATTTTAGTGATGGCACACTGATGTCTTAGCCACGCTTTGAATCAAAGAAACAAAAAGCTGGTTGGTGGTTTGGATCATGAAATGAAAATTTCTCCATTCAGTTGGGTGTGTCTGAAAATGTCGTGTACCCCTTTTTACCCAATGGTTTTGCTGATCAGACAATCCCGTTTTTAAATGGCTATTTCATTGGGAATATACCCATCATCCCAACGGGTTTGCTGATGGCGCCATGGCGCAAAAGGTTGTTTCTATCTCATAGAATGGCGGGTTCATAGACCCATGTTGGGTTATGTTGGGTTTATTATGTTGGGATGTGTTGGGTTACCATGTTGGGATATGTTGGGTAAAAATTATCTTTACTTCGACTGTCTTAGACTTATCCACCTATCCCCCCACCCACGATGGCGGACGATGTGTGGTGACTGGCCAAATTATATCCTCTTGTTTTTTCCCAGCGAAAAGCAACATTTGGCACCCACAAATAAGCATTTCCAATGTCAGAAAACGTAGTCTTCCAGAACCTATGTTCAGGTCCCATGTGAGTTCTTGGGATTGTAGATCTTTTTCCCCATGAAACTTGGATAAAACTTAGATGAATTAGATCAAGGATATATCGCTCCAAATCCAACATATTTACCCTTTGCCCCTGGCATGACCAACTCCTTCTCTGCCCTGCGCCAGGCTGGGAAAGTGCAAGAGACGCTGCAAAACCGCCTGGGGCCCCAGGAAGAGTTGGCCCAGGAATGGTGGAAATTCAGCCTCCAATAACTGGTGATTTAAAACACGAGGATGTTTCTAGGTGATTTACCAAAGAACTGGGTGGATAAGATATAATTAGATATAGTTACAAGATATTCCAAGTTATTCCCGGATATTACAAGACAAGATATTACAAGGCTTAGTTACATCAAATCATGGCGAGACATTCAGGGGAAACACAACCAGATCACACCACCGGTTGGTCGTTTTGTCCAATGAATGGGACCCCAGCAGTGGTAGCAGGGACCCCTATCACTGGGGAATCGCAGAGTTCAGAGAGATTTCCCCATCTATTTTGGTGGTTAAGCGATGTCAAACGTGGGGTAGCAACAGAACCAGCTTCGATGATGCCCTTCCGCTTGGACGAAAATTCCATGCACAGGTGCTGTGCAAGAGCGGCTCCTGGCAGATGAAAGCGATAAGGTTGAGAAGTTGACCAAGGTTGGGATGCCGTGCCGAACAGTTCTGAACCATCTCGAGCCTGGGGTAAAACATGGTAAAACTGAAGCCCAAGATGCCGATTTTCGTACTGTAGATAATATGAGATCATGAAAGAAGAATATACAATAACCTATTGCAAGTAAAATTGTAAGTATTATATGACCTCACCATTTTTAACAGGTCAATCATCATAAATCATCTATAAACATGGAACACAAATCATCCAAAATTCATCACTATGTCAATAACCAGAGGGTATATGAGGGTATAATATTAATAATATGATTAATAATTATCATTAATTATATTATAGTTATAGTATAATAACATATAATAACCATTAGTATACTATTATTATATATACATATAGATATATACATATGATTATATCTGTAGATCTGTATAGCTCTAAGTTCTTCGGGTGGAGACCCCATCAGGAGATCGGCGACATGAATGCCATGAAGGCGGCATATCTCAACGACGAGCAGATCGTGAAGGTCGGAGATGTTTTTGTTCGGGTAAGAAAAAGGTAGTTACAGTGTAGAATTGATGGTAATTTTTGTTGGAGATATGGTAAAATTAATACATGAATATGTAATAATATGTAGATAATATGGTATATTTTTTTTGGAGATATGGTAAAATGAATAAATGAATATATGTAGTATGTATTAATAAACCATATGTGGATATACACATAGATATGTACTGTAGATATGTAGATATGTGGATATGCACATAGTAAATGTGGTCATATATGGTAAATAGATGGTAAATTAGCATCCAGTACACAATTCGATGCTTGCATCGACTTCCATGGTCGTTGTGGTTGGTGCATCCCCATGGCGAATGGGTTCTAGCCGATTGGGGTGTGAAGGCTTATGAAACCCATATTATTCACCATAGATTATTAGGCCATGATAGATTATGAACTATTAAACATCATAAAGTATCAAATAGTGATAATTATTGTATAGTTGCAATTTTCCAATCATTCATATAGATTATTAATTATTAAAAACATCGTCAAAACAATCAAATCAGAATCACTAATATATATATATATATACATACATACATACACTATATATATATATACATACACTATATATATAATATTTATATTTTTTTTTAAGGACCCCCTTTATGGGTCCAATGATTCCAATGTCCGTCCTTTACGCTTCCTTCAGGGCGTCTTGGAGAAGCGAAAGAAGCAGGTCATGCGCCAGATCAATCGACTGGACATGGATGGAGAGGACCAGGGGTGGAAAATCCTATGGTTTACCCTCTGGTAAATTAACGTAGCTATTGAAAATGACCATTAATAGTGGATTTTCCCATTAAAAATTGTGATTTTCAATAGCTATGTTAAATTACCAGAGGGTACCCTCTGGTAAATTAACTCGTTGACCCTGAAAATAGCCTAGTTTTAATGGAAACTAATCTTCCAACCCCTATCTGCCAGGGTCTATGTTAATTTACCAGAGGGTACAAAGGATGTAGAAAATAACCACGGTTTCCTGTTTAGAACATCTATAAATGGTGGGTATTCAACCTCCATGAAAAAACGTTGGAGGGTAAGAGGTGGGTGAAATTCGGGTAACTTTAATGGATGTGACTCTGGGATTTTGGAGGGACCCACGATTCTCATTCCAGTCGGAGGTTTCAATTTGCTGTAAATCCCACTGGATTTGAAACAAAATGATCTCCCCTTTGACTATTGCATCCAGGTCTGGAAGTGAAAATTCCCAGCTCTACCCAGAATTGGATGTTGGCCGCATTGCTACTATCCCTGGTATTCCCTGGTTAACTCCTAGCAACTCCTCATTCTTGCTGGCAAAAACATGTCAAAACCATTCAATTCCCAAGCTTTGCTGGGACAAAAACACATAATTTGGATATTTTGGGATGATGCTCCCCAGGTTGGAGCATTCCAAGCTGGCTCATTCCTGCACTGACTCGAGCATTCATCCAAAATGTGGAAAACGTGGACGTATATCTTTCAGGGAGTGGCTCAACCAGCCTTCATTCTTGTTTGCAAAAAAACATGATCGTAAAAAAAAAAAAACATGGCAAACACACCATCAAACACCTAAATTTGCTTGGTTTGGACAGGTTAAATCCATTTAAATCCCAGATTTTGGTCCACAATTTCGCTGTTTAACGATCCTCACTGGCCAGATCTCTTATCTCCCAGGACGCCGATCCCGAGCCGTGAGAAAAACAGAGATCCCACGCTGTCGCTGTCGCTGTGCTGCCTCCATTTCTTGTGACAAATGGCTGGTATAGGGCCACTATAGCTGCTGGTAAACTAACAGTTGGCCATGGAATGCCATGGAAAATCACATGTTTGTATGTTTATATAGTTATACGTATATATATATATACACACACGTATATATATATATATACGTATATATATATATATACACGTATAAGTAAATAATCTGCAAATGTGCCATTTTCAATAGCTGTGTTAAATTACCATAGGGTAGGGGTGATAGACTACATATCCTTTTAATGTGTTTTGATGTTTTTTTTTGGGGGGGTTATATATATGGTTATACTACCAATCGCGATTTTTGGGGACTACCGATCCCTTTCATGCGATGCCATAAGAAAATCATTGCTCAACTGAGGCGGTTCCCCGGCAGATGGTGCCGGGCCAACTATTCCAGGGCATCAGTGTGGATGATCAAATTATGTATTTCTGTCTTGTCAAGAACGAATATATGGATGGTAGTATATTGAATCACGATAATCATGTCTAGCTTGAACTGCTGAGTATCACTATTCTGGCTGAGCCTACAATGAATTAGCAAGGTATTTGTTCAAGACCTTGCTTGACACTTCTTGTTTCATTGGGCAGGGAAGTACGAAGTGCAAGAACCGTTTGGTTTGGTTGGAAGATAGACGGCAAATGGACCTGTCATGTTGTGACCTCACGTGGAAAGACTGGCAGTTGGCCATGGAAAATCACCATGTTTGAGAGGTCAATCAACTACAAATGACCATGTTCAAGACGGGTAACTGGTGCAGAGCCCGGGGATCATCCCCAAAGTAGATCTCTTGATCGAATCCCATAGATCGTGCAGGCGAAATGGGACCTATCCTCCACAAATGCCAGGGTTTTGATTCATACCCGGCCTGGTAAACGTTAACATAACTCTGGAAAGATCCACCATGCTATTATATAATGGGCAACTCCACTATTTCGACTGGGCCATTTTCTATGTCGCTTTTTGTATGTTTACCAGAGGGTAGATGCATAGCCAAATGTGGTCAATCCAACTTTTGATACCAAGTGGTCCATTTCTGCGTACTGCAGCCCCGTGTCTTGGCTCAGCAACTGGTGCTGAAATTTGTCGAGCTCCAGCTCCAACAGAGGTGGGCTACCGGCCGGGGTACGTTGGCCATGACGGTGGGGTCAATCCCCGCAGTTTTCCAATGTCTGGGAGTTTTTTCCGAACCCGCAATTCTTGCAGGATTTTTCTCATTTCATGATTTCTTCAATAAGATTCTAAGATATGGGGAGAAAGGGTAAAGCCAGTGACTCATAAGACATATAAGACCCTAAGTCAAAGTCAAGTGAGCCATTGAAAATAAACCTGTTGATTGGCTAAAACAGGTTGGTTTTACTTCCCGGGTAATGAAATGGATTATTATCATAGTCCAGAAATAGGAAATAATATCTATCAATCAATATGATGGAAGGGGAAAACGGGCTGCGTTTTTATGTGGCTCAACTTTTCAACTGCTGGGCTGTATTACATATATCATGGCTCTGGACCAATTTAATTGAGCTTTTAGGATTGTCACTCCTGAGAGGTTCTTTTTTGTCCCGCTTTTTTGTGCTTTCGGATAGTTTGATCCCCCTTCCTAATCATTTATCTTACATACTGTCAAAATTATGTTAAGTATCAATTTTATGGTCATTATGCCACAACGTGCTGGTTAAAGTCCATTTTTTTTTGTATGTTTTGTAGGTGAAGGTATTTGGTAAGTGGGTAAATTCAACAGCACTTTTTGGTTATACCTCGTTTGGTGATTATACCCATGCTAGTTGATCTACGTGAAAATTCACAGGAAACCATCCTTTAGACCTGAAACATAGGACTGATGTGTATTTCAGGGTTTCCAGTATTTTTTTGCATCCAAGAAGATCAAAATCGTTGATCACAGCCCGTGGCCATGCCCAGACGATGGCCCGGCTCGTTCGAAACGCAGCTTGCCTTGGGCTGTTGGCTGTGGCCGTTGCGGACAAGTCCCTGCAAGATCGTGCCCCGGCGCTCGTTGGAAGTGGGTCCTGGGCGGCTGGGAACATCTGCTGTTGACCCATATCAGGGATGCTAAGATATCAAGAAATAGAAGGTCTATCAGTATAATTAGGAACCCCCCAACCCATAAAAAAAGTGTATATATATATAACATCTTAGTAGGATATTGCTTCTCTTTTTTGGTTGTTTTTTATCAGTAGCCATTCTACGGAACCCCGAAGAGCGTCCAGAGGCGGCTCAATAAACCTGGAGGGTGCGTGTCCAAACGCATGTTTTTATTTGATGTTTATATCCATTCATGTGGGTAAAACAACAATAAACCACCCATGACTGTACCACCTATGTATGGTGTTGACGGGATGGTTTATTATTTATTTTATTTTTATTTTTATACCCACATTAATTTCCATACCATGATGATTATCATTGACTTAGTCAATGTCATTGACTAATAACACTAATATGATAGTTTATGATGGTTTATGATGGTACGATTCTTTTTATCCATCCCATGTTCATGGTTTTTGGTGAGCATGATTTTCCACCGAAAAGGATTGACTTTTCATTGTGGAAGAGGAACACCTATACTGATTGGTGGTTTGGAACATTTTTTATTTTTTCCATATATTGCGAATAATCATCCCAACTAAGATAATATTTTTCAGAGGGGTAGGTATACCACCAGGGTTGAAACCACCAACCAGGATAACTTTCTATAAAATCTATAAATATCCCATTATATTCATAGCCCCAAACCTCCACCAATACGCCCACAGAAATTATGATCTATCTGGAGGTTTCCTATCCAAGTCGTTAGACCGCAAAATCGTTTTCTGAAACCGGTGACTTGGGGATCATCGAAATCCGTCTAGAAATCCAGAAATCCCCTTGATGGTGACGTGGGGGATCATCCGTTTAGAAACCTCCATCTACCCTCTGGTAAATATTATTGGATAGGGGGTATGATAGGGTATGTATAATCCAATAATATGATGGGGGTATGATAGGGTATATATATAACTATTATATGTGTACCCTCTGGTAAACGTTAACATAACTCTGGAAAGATCCACCATGCTATTAATGGGCAACTCCACTATTTCGACTGTGCCATTTTCAATAGCGTTTTGTATGTTTACCAGAGGGTAAGTCCATTTCGGAAAAATTGTGATTTTCTCTCCTTTCCCCATTGGGCTCAACCATCTTCTTCCAGGTGTGAAACAAATTGTCTAAAAAATTCGACCACCAAACGCTTGAGGGAGAGGAAAATTTGGTTTAGTGGTTATTTATAGCTGTATAAACTATAACCATTATATTACTATTATTAACCACTATTAACCGTTATTATATTATCAACCATTATTAACCACCATGGTTATTTGGTTTTAGTCGATATAATTATAGCTGTATAAATAACCCCATTGATTTTCAGTTTTTTTCAGCAACAGGATGAATGAATCCCAATCAGACAAAAGGGATGATATTCAAAGGCCAGGTGCGCACCATTTACCATGTTTAATAGAATTGGATGATGGGAAAATTTACAGGAAAGCCCTATATTTGACGGTAAAAACCATGGTTTCCTGTAGATTTTCCCTTAAACCAATCCAATGAATGTTTGTAGCTGATAAACAAATCAGATTTTGCTACAAACCATGATGTATTTACCAACCATTTACAAAAAAAACACTGCCATTTTCCATTGTTTTCCTTTTAACCATGGTGTATGGTGTATAAAACCTACTGTTTTTTGCATGAGTTTGGTAACAACATATCGAATCAACTTTAATTGGAAGAACGTCATTATTAAAACTTCATTTTTCAACATGAAAGTATACTACAAAGATCTACAAATCATGTCAATCATGTTTGTACTACTATTTTCTAATATTGTACTATATACTAGTGTTCTACAAACCTCTACAGACATTTTTCCGTCCAAAATCTCCGTCAGTCATCCCAGTCTGAGGTGTCGCAGCTTTGGAACGTGCCTTGTCGTGACCGTGAACCAAAGTGCGATTTTTAAAGTGCGGTCCATTGGATGGTCAATAATGGCTAATCATGGTTTATTATATTTATTCTATATTATAAAATGGCAATGTTCAATGGGAAAATCAACTATTTCGACTGTGCCATTTTCAATAGCTATGAATACTGGTTGGTGGTGACTGGAACCATGGAATTTGGATTGACTTCCCATTCAGTTGGGAATTTCATAATCCCAACTGACTTTCACTCCATCATTTTTCAGAGGGGTAGAGTCAACCACCAGATTTAAATAGTTTTAAATATCATATATACCAATCTGATTTTATAAAATATATGGATATGTTTTTGTTTCTGTATCGCATTGCGTTTTTTTTTTGTATCATCCTCGTTGATGGAAAATAATTGTTATGGACGGGTGAGAGTGAAGAAATTTGTGAGATTTGAAGTTTCAAAACATGAACAATGAAACAAGTTCGGTTTCATGTTTGAAATAAAATGATGAGTATCAAAATCATATAGGATATATAAGGAATAAAATGATTGATGTTTGATGGCAGGTGTATGGGATGCCAAGAATAGGGATTTATCACCAACAATCATAGGCGCAACAGTGGGCAAGATTAGAAACCCCGCCATCATGATGGGTTTGGATGGAAAATCATGAAGATTGTATGTTTCCTTCCGTCCGGCAAAACAATCCTTACGGTGACTACCCAGGATTAGATGGGGATATCACTAGCTTACAATAATCTAATCTAATATTTATTTATATATATATGTGTATAATACATTATATTTATAGTTATTGTTTGAACTTCACCAACTATAAATTGGGGAATGCTCCCTTGCCCCTAATATTAAACACCCCCAGAAACCATGGTTTAGTAAGGGATTTGAGGGCAGTGCTCTGGTGGCCCTTGCCCGTGTGCCCGTGTGCCCGTGTGCCTGTGAATCGGGGTTGTGCCCGGGTGCCCGTGTGTCCGTGTGCCCGTGGATCGGGTTGTGCCCGGGTGCCCGTCTATCTGTGTATTGATCTCTCTTACTCCCGCTCTTTCTTTCTCTCTCTCTCTCTCTCTCCCTCTCCCTCTCTCTCTCTATCTCTCACTTTCTCTCTCTCTCTATATCTGTATCTCCGTCTCCCTTTCTACTTATTGATTTATCCTTTTGCCTATGCATCTATATGTCTGTGTGTCTGTCTTTCTATCTATCTATCTATCTACCTACCTATGTACCTATCTATATATCTATCTATCTATCCATCTATCTATCCATCTATCTATCTATCTATCTGTTTGTTTGTCGGTCTGTCTGTCTGTCTGTTTGTCTGTCTGTGTGTCAACCGGTTGCCGCAGCGTGATGTCATAGCAGCATGAGCTCGTTGCCCGTCGTTGTAGACCTTGGTGTGTGTTTGACGTTCCTTCTTGTTGCATGACCATGTGGTTGCCTTGTTGTTTGCATGCAACTTTGTTCCGCTGTGCTGTGATGCCTTGATCTAACATTAATGTCGACATGCGGCATTTCAGCGCTGTCTGCTGTAGATGGCATGTCGTTGTCCTTGCCGTGTTGTTTGCGTGCAGCTTAATGTCGTTGTTTTGCCTTGATCTTATATAAGTTAATTTCCACATGTGCCGTTTTGGCCCGGTCTACCCTAGATTCCTCGTCTCCCTTTCTACTTATGGATTTATCCTTTTGCCTTTGTATCTATCTGTCTGTCTGTCTGTTTGTCTGTTTGTCTGTCTGTCTGTCTATCTATCTATCTATCTATCTATCTATCTATCTATCTATCTATCTATCTATCTGATCTATCTTATCTGATCTATCTGATCTATCTGATCTATCTGATCTATCTGATCTATCTGATCTATCTGATCTATCTGATCTATCCGATCTATCCGATCTATCTGATCTATCCGATCTATCTGATCTATCTGATCTATCTGATCTTTCTGATCTATCTTATCTATCTTATCTGTCTTATCTGCCTTATTTATCTTATTTATCTTATCGATCTTATCATCTTATCTATCTAATCTATCTAATCTATCTTATCTATCCTATCTATCTATCTATCCATCCATTTATCTATCCAGCTTTTCTCATCTCATCTGATCTGATCTGATCTTATCTATCTATCCATCTAATCTAATCTAATCTAATCTAATCTAATCTAATCTATCTATCTGATCTATCTAACTGATCTACCTATCTACCTATCTACCTATCTACCTACCTACCTATCTATCTATCTATCTATCTATCTGACTGATCCATCTATCTACCTATCTATCTATCTATCTATTTGATCGATCTATCTATCTATCTATCTATCTGTCTATCGATCTATCTGATCTATCCGATCTATCCGATCTATCCGATCTATCCGATCTATCTGATCTATCTAATCTATCTGATCTTTCTGATCTATCTTATCTATCTTATCTGCCTTATTCATCTTATTTATCTTATCTATCTTATCTTTCTTATCTTTCTTATCTATGTAATCTATCTAATCTATCTAATGATTCTAATCTATCTAATCTATCTAATCGATCTAATCGATCTAATCTAATCTATCTAGTCTATCTAATCTATCTAATCGATCTAATCGATCTAATCGATTTAATCTATCTGATCTATCTGATCTATCTAATCTATCTAACCTATCTAACCTATCCAACCTATCTAACCTTTCTAACCTTTTTAACTTGTCTAATCGATCTAATCTATCTAGTCTATCTAACCTATCCAACCTATCTAATCTATCTAATCGATCTAATCGATCTAATCGATCTAATCGATCTAGTCGATCTAATCGATCTAATCGATCTAATCGATCTAATCGATCTAATCGATCTAATCCATCTATCTATCGATCGATCGATCTATCTATCTATAGATTAATCTATCTTTGATTCCTGTGCTCGTGGATTGACTGTGGGCCCTTGCCCTGGCCGGTCGATTGCCCGTGTGCCCGTGATTTCGCTGTGTGTCCGTGTGCCCGGGTGCCCGTGTGCCCGTGGATTGCTCGTGTGCCCGTGTGCCCGTTTGCCCGTGTGCCCGTGGATTCCTCGTGTGCCCATGTGCCCGTGTGCCCGTGGATCGGCCGCGTGCCCGTGTGCCCGTGTGCCCGGAGGGCCGTGAGGAGACCTATCTCAGGGATTTACCACATATTTAGGCACTTGCTATAGGGATGCCATCACAAGAAACATGCCAGAAATCCACGATTAAACAAACTCAGGTTGCCAGCTTGTTATGAACAAACAACACATCATAATTCAAGTGAAAGACTTAAACACCCCCTGAACATGTTCAGATGTTCTGCAAGACCACCTTAGGCTGTTTCAAGGGCATCACAAGTGCGCAAAATGGTTCAGCGCGAGCGCCACTGTCGTTAATCCATCGAACTTGGTAGAACAATTGGCGTTGGGTCAAAATATGAGGTCCAGCGAAATGTCGATTTCGCCCATTCCCTTTGTGAGTAGATCATTTTGAGGTGCCAAATTTTGACCTATTCCAACCCATTCCCGCATATTGGGCATAGCTGCATGTCTATCACCAACACATCAAACTTGCTCAGATCAGATTCGACTTGATTCCAGCAATGGTTTCTGAAGGTGTCATCCTTCACACGGTTCTTCTCCAGAGCGATGGCAATGCTGTTGTCATCGGAGGCAATGGATCTGATCAATGCAACATCCCACCTTTGGATGAAGGACTGGCATACACCCAGATTTCTGCAGGCGGCGGTCATACAGTGCTTCTCCGGAGCGATGGTAATGCTTTTGCCATCGGAGTCAATGGATCTGGACAATGCAACATCCCACCTTTGGATGAAGGACTGGCATACACCCAGGTTTCTGCAGGAGGGTATCATACAGTGCTTCTCCGGAGTGATGGCAGTGCGGTTGCTGTCGGAAGCAATTCATGTGGACAATGCAACATCCCACCTTTGGATGAAGGACTGGCATACGCACAGATTTCTGCAGGCGGCTTGCATATAGTGTTTCTCCGGAGCGATGGCAATGCTTTTGCCATCGGAGGCAATGGATCTGGACAATGCAACATCCCACCTTTGGATGAAGGACTGGCATACACCCAGATTTCTGCAGGCGGCTTGCATACAGTGTTTCTCCGGAGCGATGGCAATGCTTTTGCCATCGGAGGCAATGGATCTGGACAATGCAACATCCCACCTTTGGATGAAGGACTGGCATACACCCAGATTTCTGCAGGCGGCTTGCATACAGTGCTTCTCCGGAGTGATGGCAGTGCGGTTGCTGTCGGAGGCAATGGATCTGGACAATGCAACATCCCGCCGTTGAATGAGGGAATGGTATACACCCAGGTTTCTGCAGGCGGCGGTCGCTGCGGTCATACAGTGCTTCTCCGGAGTGATGGCAGTGCAGTTGCTGTCGGAGACAATACAAAGGGACAATGCAACATTCCTTCCCCAAGGCCGGGAGTTTGCTACATCAGCGATGTGACATGTGGCAGGGATTTAGCTTTGCAACTAGATTTTGTGCACAAGGATGATGCAGCCATGCTGATTTGCTCGACTTTGGCTGGGGAAGAAGGCTTTCGTTTGACTGTGCAGGGGTTTGATTCAGCCTGGGAGATCCAGAAAAGGATTGCGCGTGGATTGAATGTGAACCTCTCAAATCTCCAGCTCGTTCTGCCAGATGGGCAGTTGTTGGCCAAAGTCTGCCGCGCAAATCCAGGGGTCTCAGTTGCTGAGGTGAGTCAAAGCACTCAGAACCCACAGCTCCCATAGCTTCAAAATTGCAGCGCTGGGCACGTCTATGCGTCGTAAAACCAGCAGCCTCGGCAGATAGTGTTTACTGTATAGGCAGGTAATGTTGGATAGTGACTAGTGTGGACCCCCCTCAAAGAAGTTATACATGGGGTGTTTTCACAACGGCCAAGCCGCCACCCAACAAAAACTTTGCCAGGAAAAATGGGTCAATAATCCAAACATAGATTTGAACCTATTGAAATACATTATACCTATAGCCTATAGTTTGTAATTTTTCCTTTGTTCAGCTCATGTGGGATGAGGGGGGGATCTTCAAGTACTCGATTTTCCAAACATTGGATCATTCTTTGAGATTGTTTTGTTAGTTTTGTTCTTCCTTTTCTTTCTTTTTCCTTTCCAGGTTCCTTTCTTCCTTGACTTTGTTCTTTCTTATTTATTTCTTACTTTCCTGTCCTTCTTTTCTCCTTTCCTTCTTTCTTTCCTTCCAACTGTCCTGTTCTTTCATCCTTTTTCTTTGGAACCTTGGCATTCTGCTTGAAGTGGAACTATTTTTAGATTCACAACAAGTTCTGAGGAAGGTCCTTCCTGAGATGTCCGGTTGGTCGTTCATGGCTTTTGGGTGCTGGTATTATCCTAAATGTACTGTAGTGAAGCGATGGATTCATGATGGATCCAGAGGTGAAAGGATCACTCCCACACCGACGTTACATGATGTTACATGGGTAACTGGTTGGTAAAACCTGACATTTGAACGTCTTTGTCACAGTTTATTTAGGGCCCCTGCACTAATCAAATGCTGTTCCAGCAACCATGGTTGGATGATAAGTAGCCACTCATGCGCTTGTTTGTAAATGTATGGACTATGGATGCCCAAAAATTCATGGTTGTTCAATGTTGTTCATCATCGCCCCCTTCATTTGATGGCCATTGGCATTGTGGTATCCCTCCTTAGACCCAGGGGTTCAGGTCAGTCATGAAAACTGATCATGTGGTCTATCAAAATGGCAGTTTTTGGGATATACAGCATTTTTGAACGAACCTTTTCCCCCAACAATGAATGGACCACTTCTTCGAAAGGTTTGGGTTTCGCTTTAGGGATATTCATAAGAACCCCTGCAAAGAATCCAATCGATGGAAAAGGACATCACCACTAGTTTTGGTAGTAGTTTGTTTTTTAATCATTTTTCTGGGGGGTTGCATCCCCAAACAATGCACCAACAATTTGTTCCTACAAAGTCAATACAATCCGCAAGAATCCATCCGAAAGATTCTGAGCCAGCAGGTCTTTTGGCGCAGCAGGAAGAACTACTGCAGGCGGAAGCTGTGCGCAGGGAACTCTAATTGAGCTTGGTTGATGGGTGATTTTAGGGTGCTTTTTATGGGCCTAATTGCACTTTTTTTTTTGTTTTTTTTCGCCTGCTAATCATGCCCTTAAGTTGTTACCATTGATAGCTGTTTTCACCACGAATATGGAGACGTAGCTCAGCTGATATCGTTGATCGAAAAATGGGTTGCAGTCAGCAAAATACTGCCGATATTTGGGATGACAATGAGGATTTGATCCCTAAAATTCTGAGGAAATCTGAGTCTTTTTCTCCACTCCCAGTTGTGATCGGAAACTTAAAGTAAACTGTTTTTTTATGGTGCAACCGAAATATATTGGAATAACATACTATAGTTATACACCACCTATATGTAAGGGCCAAGGGATCTGAGTGATCTAAGGGAATATTGCCACAGAAATATGGAGGTATCCGTTTCGTCATGGGGGTACCCTGCAATCATCCAAGTCATGGAGGCCCACTTGAGCATTGAAACACATGGTGACTTGTGGATCCATTGTTAGCTGCCCCAGGTCGGCATTGGAATTTATGCCAAATAATGAGGTTTACCCTTTGGTAATTTCACATAGCTATGGAAGTGCCCATGGCTAGTTCAATGATTTACCCAGGAGACATGGTGATTTTCATGGATTCACCCAGGAAACAGTTGTGATTTTCCATAGGATTTTCCAACTTCTAGACCAACGAACCTAAAATGTTAGCTGCCCACGAACCGGACATCTTCAAAGATGATCCTCCCGCTGGGTCGACAGGATTTATACCGAACAATTCACACACCCCGCAGAGAAGTGGTTTTTGGTTGCCCATTTTTTTCTGGGGTAAACTGCGTTGCCCACCTGGAAAAATTCACATGACTCTGGAGCTTTTATGAAACTATCACACCATAATTGGATGACCTGTGATTTCGCAGGCTCAGACCCTGGAGCTTCATGGAAGCGATGGAAGCGCGCGACGCTTGCAGGTCAGGTGAATGGCTGGGATTCCAGACCATAATGGTGGTTGTTTATGGAGTCCACAAATATTGGAAGATTCATGGAATATCATAGGAAAACCTATAGGAACATCATAGATCATGATGACTATTGAGAAATTTCACGAAATTCGATATTTCATTGGAACATGGAGATATTCTGAAATATTTGAGACTTGGAAGATGTGGGAATATTTTTATAGGGAAGTTGATCTTCAAATGGGATCTTCGATCCGGGGAAACTGAGCCATGACATGGAAACACAACTGTGACTGAGAAAGGGATGAATACCCGGCCTGGTAAACGTTTATATAACTATGGAAAATCACCATGCTATTAATGGGAAAATCCACTATAAATGACAATTTTCAATAATAGCTATGTTAGTTTACCAGAGGGTAATACCTGTTCTTTAGACTGTTCCAATGGGTCCTGGTAATGATTTGGGGCTACTAGCTTATCCAATTTCAGAGCTATTCCTGGTGATTTCAAACCATTCATTTTCCATCACGATCGCTAAAAACGGTAGTTCTTCGGTGATAGCCTTAGGTAACTTCGGCATGTTTTTTTTTTGGGACTAGCGTTGATCAATGCCCCATGTTTGAGCACTTTTAATCATGGTTAACCATAATTCACCATCCACTTGGTGAGCCATGTCTCCATGTCGCAACCCCCCACTGAAATCACGACAAAACATCACCGAATAGCAAGCGCAACCCCATTTCTGGTGGTGACTGGAACATGGCTGGATTATGACTTTCCCATCATATTGGGGATAGTACCCCCAACTGACTTTCACTCCATGATTTTTCAGAGGGGTAGGTCAACCACCCAGAATTCATCAGCGAATGGTAGAAGAGGTGCCGACTTTGCCCAAGAGTATCCACTACGCCACCGGCGACACTGACTCGATTCCATACACGGCACCTTGGATCAGTGGTGTCCGTTGCAAATGTGGATCATTTTTCTTGGAACATGAGGATTCACTAGTTTCCGGGATACCCCGTTTTCAGACCATGAAGTGAAGCCTAGAATAGGGATTCACTGCAACCAGTATAACCCGAAAACAGAGGTAAAAAGAGCTAAGGCGATGGGATACTGTGAGAATTTAAGCAACGCAGTATCTTTGTGCAAAATTAATGGGGTACTTACCGGTAATTAATTTCAATACATGTTGACCCTTTCTTGGCGCATTGTTGATTCTACCTCCAAGTGCCTCCAAGGGGTACAATCGAGTAAATGGCGTCTAGCAATTCTTGGGTAACCACATGACTGAGTTATGTCATCAAACATGCATAGAGATGCTTAGAGTATAGCCAATCAAGAATGGGCGGATGTGTAGCGATGAACCAAGAATTCACGGGACATCACATCTTAGATGTCCCACATTCCCACTATGTGTGATAAAAAGCAAGGCTTGTTACCTCCATTTAATCCATATAACATGATGCATTTTGCACAAACACAATAGATCACCATAGGGGAATAGATGTCGATGGCACCAAAACGGCCCTCTGCTTTGTCTGTCTCGTTAGGGAGACCTTGGAGGGTTCTTCTTCAGCTCTCTGAAGATGCAGAGTTTCAGGGTTTTCCTGTGCATCTTCAGGGTGAGTTGGTCACCGGGTAGTGGTTGTGTTCGATGTCGATCATATGCATCGAAAAATATCCAGTGGTATGGCACCATTACATTAATACACATTAATAAGCGGCCCCATGATGTCCATTACACAATCATATAAACAATAAACAATAACTGGTTGGTCGTTTGGAACATGAATTTTATTGTCCATAATATATGGGATGTCATCCTTCCCATTGACTTTCATATTTTTCAGAGGGGTAGGTATACCACCAACCAGATATAAACAATAATATATTCCCATGATATTTTTAACCACTGTATTCCCATATGGAGGATTTTTCATCATCTGGCTGATTATCTCCCAGCGTTGTTTTACACCGCTGAAAACCGGCCAATGGGCCAAGTCTGAAGAGAAGATCACTGGTGCTCTGGATCATATTTGGCATCTTGGCTTGGTGCTCTGCGGTGAACTGTTGGCTGCAATTGTTCTGGCGCCCATGACACAACTATCTTTGCATATATAAATACCAGTATTATGTAAAATCAGGATATTATGATATCATATATTTTATCTGTATAATCACACAGTATGTGTATATATATATATATTATATTTATTTAGATCCTGTTTTCAAAGGTTCTCCACATTGTGGGTCCCACATGGTGCGGTTCTTTTTGGGCTGTTGCTGCTCCCATCTTGTTTTAGCCCGGCTTGAGAAAACTCCAGCCATCTGGGAGGGGTTTGGATGGGTTTGGTGATCTATGGTGACCTCGAAAATCTGAGAATCCCCAATTTTGCTACATGGCTTTGGACCTGAAAATGTTTCGAAACATTTCCCCAATTTTTAATCGCCATTTTGAGTCGGGAAAATCCATGGATACCATGATTGACGTTAACGGATGCCATGGGATGCCTGAAAAAACATGTTGTGGAGGAACAGAACCTTGATGGGTATTGATGGGTGGCTTTATCCGTTTATCCATGTTTATCCCCAATCTAACCTGACATTCCGAAAATCAATCCAAGAAACATTCCAGAACATGTTTTCCTGAGGTTTTCCTCATTTATCTCGATGATTACAACCCAATCTACAGCATTTTCGGCTTCAGGTTGATCCTGTGCGGCGCCCTGGTGATGTTCATGCAGGCCGGCTTCGCCATGGTGGAGTCCGGGAGCCCGTCGGCGGATCGGCGGATTCTGATCGTCAGTTAAAAAGGGTGGAAAATGCTAAGATCGGCTAAGATAGGATGGGACATTTCTAGGGTAGAACTATAATTAGTCATCTTTTAACTGGTGAAATATGATAATTTACCCAGATCTATGCCATCTATGCGCTTGTCTGGAATTCATGGAAACATATGGAAACCCCAAATTTCATGGTTCTTCATCTTTGTCCCCCTGCATTTGTTATGACCATGAATTGTGGTATCCCCCGAAGAGCCAACAACCCAACATCCTCATTGCTCAATCCCATGTAGAGCCCAAGCAGGTTTGCCTGAAAACAGGAACCCCCCAAAATACATCAAATTTTGATCAACCATTGTATTTTGATGATTTTTGATGATCAAAAATCATCAAAATACAAGGGTTGTTCACTACCAGGCCTTGCCTTAGGTCATTTCGATACTGATCAACATCAATGCTCATCCCAGCCCCGAAAATGGTGTCACAAAATTTCACAAAACGATACGCGGTGACCCGGTGACCTGATTGTGTTCGGATTTTCCATGATTTTCCCAAGCATTTCAATATATTTCAATGCTTCATTACATATTTTTACATAAGCAAAAGACACCTTTTTTGAATCTGCTTGGCATTGAAATAGCACTGGGCAGCAACCCCACTTGAGGAAATACCTGTAGTCGATGTAAAGGCAAAGCCCAAAGCAAAAAACACACACGACAATTCGCAATGTCATTATTGTTGGTCAGTTCGGACAAGCAAAATCCAGAATGGGTGTAAGAGGATCCATCATGTCACCGCATCTGTTCTGAAGAATCAATCCATTGAACGCGCATAGAGTTGTTGTAGACACGTCATGACACGTCCAAACAAACCATCAGATGAAACATGAAATAGAAATGGATACATAGGTCTTGCTCAAAAGGGTGTCATTTCTGCACCATTATATAATTGCTTTCAAAGTCTTTCACATTATAGATCAGTTTCATCAGTTTCCTCATTTTTTTGCATTTCAAACATATTTTCCATGGCTTAACAGTGATTACCCTCTGGTAATTTAACATAACTATTGAAAATCACCATTTATAGTGAGTTTTCCCATTAAAAATGGTGATTTTCCATAGTTATGTTAGTTTACCAGAGGGTATCTATAGCTACTTAGTAAGTACCATTTTCACCAAAGAAATTGCCCAGTTTTCTCCCCGGATTGCCTTGACAACTTGAGGGCTGGCAGCTGCAGAGCCAAGAATGTGCCTTGGCCAAGGGGCTAAGATGATCTGTACATCTTAGAAACTATGAGTTTTATGGATATAACTTGTATCATATATATATAAATATCATATATATATATATCCATAAAACTCACAGTTTCTATAATTATATTACCATATATGTTTACAAACCAAGCTATCCTACAATTTACCTTGGACAAAAACAACTATATCCTACAGTGTTCTATATTAGTTTTATGGAACGTATGGGGTATAAGACCAGCCGTATTAGTGGATATACGACTACTGTATAATAATACTTCTATACACATGTATGACCAACCTTGATCCATATGCATGTAGAATGTATGTTTAATCTTGTTCAATTATACATATATAGATATGGATCGATGTGGAAAAAATCAGCCTCTTTACAAGTCTTTTCCTAGGAAGCCATGGCAGTTTCCATATCTATGTCAGTTTGTTGGGTCAATAAAATCCAGAATGCTTGGATGACCGCCAATTAATCATGGGTCAGTTGCTTCGAAAGCCTCTCTTAACGGAGCGTGCGTAACATCGAAAATGGCCCGGCATGGCTGAAGTCCGGGATCCATTTAGGGGGAGGAGCATCCCATGACTGAAGTTTTTTTGATCCCTGATGTTAGGATCAATCCAGCTGAGCAGTTGAGCTAGGGATGATGGGAATCGTTGAATGGGCCAGGGCTCGCCTCGCTTCGCTTGCTGGTTCAATGAGTGACTTCACCAATCAGTGGCGTTCACCAATTGGTTTTCACCATGTCCAGACTAAAAACAACATCAGCGCAACTAGCCAGCACAGGACATAGGTGGAATGTTATCCATATGTAGGTGCCTTCAAAACATTCAAGAGATGAATGTCCCAAGTACAGAATCACTTTTACCCTCTGGCAATGAAGCATGGCTCGCTGGAAAATCCTCCATTTATGATAATTTATAGATGATTTTCCAACTGAAATGACTACGGTATTTAGTTTGGGGATTTCCCAGCCATGGAGCTGACGTTCTACCGGAGGAAAAAAACCCACCTCCGGTGTGTAAAAAAGATCCATCATGGCACCGGCAAAGATGAGCCCAACATCCCAATGTCCCTTTATACCCTCCGGTAATTTAACGTAGCTATGGAAAGATCCACCATTTTTGATGAAAACTCACTATTTCTATGGCCATTTTCAATAGCTATGTAACAAATTACCAGAGGGTAACCACCTTCCAAGTCTTCCAGTGCCTATTCTTTCGAACAAGCATCATGTCAGATGCAGACCGACATCGAATCCATGTGAATCCATTTGATACTGCGGATGGTTGCGAAATCCGGCACCCAGGGATGTGGTTTATCCATCTTTATCTCATTAGAATAGAATTTCAATGATCCATGGTGGTACAGGATTTCGCAACCATCCACAGTACCATCATCATTGTATTTCCATCACCATCCATCTAATCCTCTAAGAAATCACGGTTCAGAACAGCTTTCACAATCCAAAATCGTCCTGTTTGTTTCTGGGGATCATTAAATCATCCGAAAGACAAAAAAAAGCAAACAAAAACAGACATCCTCTAGGTGCAGAAGACTCCAATATGCATATTGCCTAAATTTCACAAAAAACATAACAAAATATCTCAAATAATCGATCTAAAGATCCATCTAATCATCAATCTGGTCATCCATCTGATCATTCCCATGAGATCCACAATCCTTTAGGTGCGGAACTTCCAAAATCATCCATCATCCAAGTCTCCAAGATGAAAAACAACATCCATCATCATCCATTATTATTGTTAAATGATGCCCCTTTCTTCATTTTATCAGGATTTTTGGAGTCCAATTCCTAGGTGCAGAACATCCTCTTGAAGAACCTCACGGATGTCTGTGTGGGTACCATCGGTTGGTGGGCCTCCGGCTGGGCCTTTGCCTATGGCGGCCCCATGACCAGCGACGGTCTGTTGGAGAACGGCTTCGTGGGAGCCTGGGACGGATGAAACATGCCGGGGGGGGATATGTGTGCGATTAAAAAAATGTAAAACCCTTGGCACATTTGGGATTTCATGAGATATTACTGTATAATGATTCTTGGGATTTATAACCTTGATTATTATATTTGTGGGATTTACAACCCATTCATGTCTAAACATTCATAGTTGTGCCATAGGATTTGATGAAATATGCATGGGTTTTCTACCCCACTAGAATCCGAAATTGGATGATACGCGAATATAATATACCCCACATATGTCTGGCTGGTGGTTTGGAACATGGCTTTTATTTTTCCATATATTGGGAATGTCATCATCGCAACTGACTTTCACTCCATCATTTTTCAGAGGGGTAGGTCAAGCACCAACCAGATGTTATGTGGGTATGGGTCAATACCTATAGATACATTTTTAGTGGGATGAACATCCATTTACCAGCTATTTTGATGTTCACCAGGGTTACAAGGTTTTGACACACTGCCATGTGGGGATAATCAATCCATTTTCATAGCGCTTCATTTCTACCCATGAGTTTTTTGAGGATTCCATTACGGGATGAAAGGCCATTGGCACCATAAACCCCTTGACCCTGGCACTTTATCCGAAGGGGATAACTGTCAACAACAGAATAAACAAGCATCAACTACAAAAAGGTCGGAACCGGGATATACCCTCTGGTAATTTGTTACATTGCTATTGAAAATGGCAATTTATAGTGGATTTATAAATTAACAATGGTGATTTTCCATAGTTATGTTAGTTTACCAGAGGGTATAACTAGTCAACAACATGATGGTGCCCCAGTTTGTTTGCAAAGTCGGTAGAAATGTGGAATTCTTTGCTCTGTGGTAGATACTCAATGGTGTTTGTAACCCCAAAAACGTAACTGGTGGGGCACCAACTTGTATGTATATAGCAACCCCAAAAGATAGAAGAAATGTTTTCCACTATGTTAGTCGGTTTTGGCTTCCAACTATTTTTTTGAGGGTGGTTACACACAATATACAAAGTGAATGTATTACCAACAATATGTATTGGGGTTGTCCCAACAACGGGGCATATCCTTAAACAAAATATCCAAACTGGCCATGACTATTATAGGGAAATGAATGATACTCCACCTATTTCTTGGTAATTACCATGTTGATTGGAAATAGACCTTCCAGCTAAAACCAATGTTTTTTTTTGTTGGCAGGGTAGCTCAGATTTGTCACGGTTTAGCAGCATAGCACAGAAAGATATTTGACATGACTCAGTGAAAAGTGCTTGCAATAGATTCTGATTGGTGGTTTGGGTTTCATATTGTTTATATAATGGGATTATATCAATGGGAATTATCTTAATCTGGTTGGTGGTTTGGAACATTTTTTTTCAAAAAATATATGGGATAATCATCCCAACTCCCAACTGACTTTCATATTTTTCAAGATGGTTATTGCACCACCAAGCAGTGGGTGCATTGTGTTTCTTCAAAAGTTGGAGGCTATGCTTGGCTGAGCTTCATGCTGTGTCCCTTTGGAGTTTTTTTTTTGCAGGATAGACTCGCCCTGGATTTTGTTTCGTAAACACTGACTGAGGCAGTCAGCAATTCTTTGGTGTAGGCGGGGGCCCAAATCCAGGTCCGGAAACATCCCAGCAGGTTGGGGAAATGCCAAGTTTATTTGTGGGAAAATTGGGAAACTCATCAAGCTGGGGGGGATAGCTGCTAGTTTTGATCCGATTTTTGTTGGGCCAATACTGAATTGAATTGATTGTGATTTGAGAGTCCATTGGCATCCCATGTTTGTTGATTGAAACGTGTTAATGATTGTTAATCTCTTTCCAGTGGCTATTGGAATCATGATTTTGGTTGATCAAATGAGTCAAAACTACACTCTTGTGACTCTTGTGGCCCACTTTTGCTCTTCAAAATCCTCATTCTTCGTTGAGCAGTGTTCAATAAAAATGGTTGAGGATGAGTTCGGGGGATAATACATATATTATATCATATATTAATGTAATATAATATATATAATGTATTATATTTATATTATCCATTATAATAATATCATTAATTAATATTATCCTATCGTCTATTAATAGATATATATATATATACACACTATAATATATGTATAACTAACATATAATGACATATCCTATCATATACTAACATATACTATATATATATATATACACATACCCATTAGGGCTTTGAACACTGCTCCGCCCTTGGAGGCTTCGTGACATACAAGGCTGATGGTACCTTGGATCTGACGCTAACTTGTGGCAGGGAGTGATCTCGCCAGTTGTTGATACACGGTATTCTATTTGTTGTTAATTCTATCCCTTAATCTCCTCCATAGTTCAAAAATATCTATATAGTATATTCCCTATGTATCCCATGTACCCTACCATATCATATATATATAATATATATATATATATCATATATATCCCATATTACCAAAAAAATCATGATCAAAAGAGCCCATCCAACCCTCCAAAACCCAAGGGGGCTTTGGGGCCCAAGGTCAGCTGGAGCCCACCACGGGTCCCCTGAACTGGTTCTTCCAGTGGGCCTTCTGTTCGGCCGCCGCGACCATCGTCTCCGGCGGGGTCGCCGAGCGCGTGGCCTACGCGCCCTACGTGGTCTTCTCCTTCCTGATGACGGCGGGGAAGGGGATATGGAGATTTAAAAAGAAAAAAAATGGAGAGATATGGTGAGAGCTTGCTGGAAAATATATGTTTTAAAAAAAATAAATAAACAAAATGGATTAACAGGTAAGTGGTGTTTGAACCTGTTCCGAATCTGTTGCGGGTGGTTCGGATTGACGTTCGAAAGCGAGAAAAGCGGTATGGAAATCTATGGCTTTCAAAAGGAAAAGGAACTTCAAATATCTTCAAATGGTGGGTTTTACACACATAAACATACATCCTCTGTCAATTGTTTGGAGGGTATACACAGTATGATACAGTATGGGTTGGTGCAAAAATAGGGTAGAGTCTGTACCTTTGAATCCTTAAAGTTCTATTCTACGGCTGTTCTATTGGGGTGTTGGTTGGTGGGTTGGGTTTGGGATTGGGACGATGGATTTCAAGGATTGGGGAGAGGCTATACCAATCCTCAAAGTCCTAACTATCAAGATGACTGAGGAAAAATCATGAAAAAATAGAGGTTTATATAGAGTTCACAACTGGGAAAAGTATCTGCAAATGAAGTTTTTTTTGTTTTTCAGAATCACATCAATAAACATTAGTTAGTAAAATACATAAAAAAGGTCCACCACCCAATCATCACCACACCCTTCTGATCTTTCTGGTGGAGCCACCAACACCTCCTGACGGAATCATCCAAGAGGTCACCATTTTTCTTGAAACTTCCAGTCGATGTTTGTCGTTTTTTCTTTTCCACAAATGTTACCCTCTGGTTATGACTAACATAGCCATGGAACATCACAATTTTTAATAGGTAAACCCTGGTAAACCATCTATAAATAACCATCTATAAATGGGCCATTTTCCATGGCTATGTTAAATAACCAGATGGTAAAAAAACAAAACAAATCCATCGGAAAAAATACATGTTTCAATCCAAAAAAAAACGCTTCGAAAAAACACACACACACACATCTTCCCAAAACAAATCCCAAGATATCCCAAGCTATCTTTTTTTATGTTTTTTTCAAAACCCATTCCCAATTACAAATCCCAAGAAAAAAAACTATCACACAAATTTCCAACAAAAACCGACGGTAAGTTGGTGAACCCTTCCTTGCACTACGGTTGACCTAGATGACCCTACTTGGGGATGCGGTTCCTTAGTAAATGGGTCAAACAGCCCCGAGTTGTGGAAGATCCACAGAACAATTAATATGGGATTCATCATCATATCACAAAAAATATCTGGGATTAATATGGATTATCATCATCATATCCCCGTATATATATATATGGTACTTTTTATATCTCCTGTGATATCTCCTATCTGGGTTATATGATAGATATGAGATCATCAATCCCAAAATATATACATGGGTTATATCACAAACATATATATATATATATGAGATTAATCAATATCAATCACACTATACCCACAAATTCTCACAAATATATTTATACATATATATATATATATTATGGGAATCTACATGGGTAATATACAATAAGTTATATCTGGGTTTAATATGGATTAATTATGATCAATTATAGTAATATCCCCCAAAAAAATCCTTGGATAATATAAGTTATATCATGTTACATCATGTTATATCCATGTTATAGACTAGAACCTATGAAATATCCCATGTACAATCCCCATCACTATCTATATCATGTATATATAATCCTCTTTAAATATAACTATCATAGGACAGTATAACTATCTAACCCAAAATCCTTTATGCCATAATATCCCATAACTATTCCATAACTATTCCAAAACTAATCCATACCCTCTGGTAAACATACAAAAAGCTATTGAAAATTGCCCAGTCGTTAAATAGTGGATTTACCCATGTTCATAGCATGGTGGATCTTTCCAGTTCGCAAGCTTAGCAAACTGTTAGTCATAACCAGAGGGTAACTATCATATAAATTCACATCATCCTAGCCATGAAAAAAGCACCATGAAAATCACCATTAATTCACTATTAATCACCATTAACCATAGATATTCCCATATTAATCACCATTAAATCACCATAAAATCACTATTAATCACCATAAAATCACCATTAACCACCATTAATTCACTATCCGGTCCTGGGATGATCCAGGCCTGGGTCTATCCGGTGATCGTCGCCTGGACCTGGGGCTACGGATGGTTGGCCTCCGTAACCTCTGTAGGCCCCGGAAATCGAACGCCGAAAAAATCCTGGGAAAGTCAGGACATGTCATGACACAGAGCTGGGGATTTGGGGATTTAGCTGGGGATTGAAACATGATTTTGTGATTTTGGCTGAGAATGGAGATTTTGAGCTCTGGTGAGTTTTGAAGGACACTTGACAAAATGAGAAAAAACTGGGCTTTGACCACCAAATCGAGACTTATTAATTCGCCATCAATTTTTTGGGGGAAACCGGCTTGAATGGGTGCTTTAGTCCGTGATTTTATTGCACAAGTCGTGGTATTGACCAATCAGCTAAGGTTCTGTTGGTTTTGTGAACGTTTTCTAAAATTGGCAACAGCTTCAAGGAAGAGAACAAGATAGTCAGACACGAGACGGAACTTTTGCTGAGAATTTTGGGACACGGTGCCAGTGCAACTGGCATGTAATTTTATGTCATTTTCCCATGAGGAGTTAGGATAAATATCATATGCTTGGTATCAGACCCTTTGTTGTACTGGACGGTTTTTAAAAAAAATGTGTGTGTTCGTTGGTGCCCTGATTTTACCATCCCATGGAGAAATCAGGAGATCTTCACTGTCAACGTTGACATCAACGTATCATGGTTATCCATAATTCGTATCACTAATCATGATGACATCACACCCAAAGAAAGCACCCAAATGATATCATATATCAATTACTGATACTGGTTGGTGGTTTGGAACATTTTGTATTTTCCATTTTATATATGGGATGTCATCCTTCCCATTGACGAACTCATATTTTTCAAGATTGTTAAAACCACCAACCAGGATATTTTTTTAATTTTCGGTCACGCCCAAATCGCACATCATGGTTATCCATAATTAATACTAGACATATGTTCGGAGCCGCATGATTTCCAATGATCAATCCGATCCCGGCGCGAGGCTTCATGGACTTCGCCGGTTCGGGCGTGGTGCACATGACAGGCCTAACCTGGCCTCGCGGGAAATGATTTGTTAATAGATTGTGTATATTATATATATAAATATGTATATAGGGGAAATTCATATGCAATAAAAGTCAACTATTTTTAATAGTTACACAATGATGGTTACTTTTTCAGAAATATTGTTGAATTAGTTCAGTTTTGGAAATTGTTCTACTCAGATTGGTATCATACGGATAGAAATCCAAGAAACATTGGGGCTGAATTTTCATACTGTCCAAAAGGCCTACAACTTTTTTAGGGATTCAAATCTCAAAACTGATGTGGGGGTCTAACTTCTCTCATAAGATATATAACTAGCTCGCGGTTTCAAAATATTTTTTGGTTGGAAAAAAAACATTTGGGTGATGCTTCCCACTGACAGTCGCACAGTGATGAGATGTTTTCAAAAATGACATGCCGATGACAATGACAATGATGGACATAAGAACAATATGGAATCGCAAGAATAATAACACTACCAATAAGATTCGTAGCAATGATTAAACAAACAATCAGAATCATACCAATAACGGAAATCAATAAAACACTAAAGATACCTTCTGGGAACTTCACATAGCAGTGGACAACTGCGATAATTTATAGATGATTTCACTATTGAAACAACATTGCTAATGTTAAATTACCAGAGGGTAAATATTGCTGAATTGGAAACTCCAGGGAGAATTGGTGCCACAGTGAAATTTACTTACGCTGATCCAATTGGGATACCAACATACAATACGCACGATTTCATACCACATTTCAATCTATTTCAATAACTGTAATATTCAATTTTTCATCCATTATTTTTTGATAGCTTATCAATATGTTCTATTTATCAAATCAGTTCATACCATTTTAACATATTCCATTTCATATTCCATTTATCATCATCCATCATTTTTGCCACATCTATTACATTGAATGGCAAAAATTATGGATAAATGATGGATCATTATGGAATATTCATACCATCATGTTTACATCTATTGACTATGACTTAAAAAAAAAAAAAGTTTGAAGATTGCCCTCTGGCAAACTAACTGATATTACGGCAAGACCATCATTTTTGATATTCCATTTATCATCTATTGATATTCCATTTATCATCATTTATCCATCATTTTGCCACTTAATAAGTTCCCGTTGATGGTCAAACCCTTTCCCCAGGTGGCGTCGGAGCCTTGGTGGGCGCCGCCATTGCGGGCCCCCGCAGCGGACGCTTCCAGATGCCGGACGAGTTCGGACCGGGGGGGGGACGTCGGGTCGGGGGTCGGACTGTGGGGGAGGAGGTTTTTTGGGGGAAAAATCAGCTGGAAATGTGGGAAAAAACGATGGAAATGTGGGAAAAACAATGCAAAATATGGAAAAATCATTAGACATGTGGAAAAAATCATCCGAAAATTAGAAATGTGGGAAAAATCGAATTAGAAACTTAGACATGTGGGAAAAAAATATATGGAAAAAACAATGGAAAATTCCAATGGGAGACCATCAGCTACGAAATGGCGGAAATTTGAGATTCTTTTTTTCAAGACATGGAGGTTTCTAGCGAAAATCAACTATAAATGGGAGTTTTTTCGATTGCCATGTTTGGATTACCAGAGGGTAGACATGTGGGAACATCTAATCATTACTTATCACATATTTTTGTTTGACATGAAGTTGATAGGTATGATTTTGCCAAAAACTATTGCGGCAAATATTTTTGGAGGATTCATAGGGACAGAAGCACCAAAGAGACGTGGAGATGGGAATATCATGTATATATATATATATATACATTTTGTGTATATATATATATACACATATATATATATTCTATATTATGCAATGTGTATATATATATAATATGGAATTTAACTAACCAACAATTTGCAATATCTTTGGGTGTGGACTTAAAACTGGGGTATATGCCCCGTGACCAGTTTGATTTCGTTAAGATAATGTTTCATGATTTCCAGACCAGCCCATTAGTTTAGGACATGTTTCTTTTTCAATGTTTGTTTGAGGAAAGTGGGTCTTTCTTTTTTTGAGGAGACTTTTATTGCTAAATCAGTACATGAAACCAATCCCTTTTGGTGTTTTTTTGGCGATAAATTCCGCTGGTAAATCCAATATTAAAAAGGCACAACTATTCCGCATGGTAGTGCCAGTGTACATGTATAATTAATCCTGAAGTAGATATAGAGTATGCATGTTTCAAAGATATTCCCATTTTAGTGATGTTATGAAGCTGTTTTTTCAAATTTCCATATTCTATCTACTCCAGGATGATTATATATATGCATATATACTTAGTAATGAACCTTCAAAGGTTGACAGATAGGACGCCAGGACCCCACAGTTTGCCCTTGATGGTGCTTGGAACCTTCATCTTGCCGCCCAGCTGAACGCTTTATCATGTATTATCACATAGCACCGTTTGGAAACACATCTGGGGACACTCTGAAAGACTTTTTTGCGAAGATCCAATCGACGTATTTGTTATATTTGGACAAACAACTAATTGGCCAATCATATCTTTAAGTGTCGTTTAGATTGTGTCCGGTGGAAATTGCAACATCAATATCACTTTCAAGATGTTTTCTTTGCCACAAAATATGGGTAACATCCGTTGACCACTCCTGAGGAGACCCGGACCTCTGGAATGAGTCTCTGATGATTGGGCTGAATGTATCATAGCACAGGTGCAAATCAAAACAGATAAACCCAAGAGACAGATGTATAGACAGATGTATAGACAGATGTACAGCCCATAGAAATAGATGGTTTACCTGTTAATAGCATGGTGATTTTCCATGGCGAACTGTTAGTCATAACCAGATGGTATAGACAGATGTACCCTCTGGTAATTTAACATAGCTATGGAAAGATCCACCAGTTTTAATGGGAAAATCCACTATAAATGGCCATTTTCAATAGCTATGTTTGACATAACCAGAGGGTATATCAGAACGATGGTGGAATCCTTGGTGCTTGATCCACGATTGGTGACCTCAGTCGTCGAGCTCAGGTGGTTCGGATGGCATCTTGGCACCATGATTCCCATGGGCCTTTTGGATGTCTGGGGTTTTGCTGCTTTCAAATCACTAAATATTATGGATATGGCTGAATTATAGATCCAACATGATCTTAGTATATATGCAAAATATAAATAAATAATAGTCCATAATCATGTCCAAATTACAGATGCAATCCAACATGATCTTAGTTTATGTTGAATCTTCAACCATATTGCTATTCATTTCCACCCCCTGGCGACGACCCCCTGATTTCATGGTGAGGTACGGCTTCAACTGCGGCTCTACTCTGGGCATGGCCGATAACGCCACAGGCGCTTGAAGCCTTCAGTGGATTTCACCATGGTTTCAACATGGAGGTCTGAAACAGCAACACAGGGACGTAACTAATAGACAAGTGGGGGCGGCCAACAAACAAAAAAACATGGGGGTTTAACCAGCCATGTCATTTTCTTGTAGATGCGGCTGTGCGAGCAGCGTAAGGTGAACACGGCCATCTAAAATCTGGCTTCTTATTGACCAAAATTGCTGTCAAATGAAAAATCCTCATCTTCATTGTATGTCCTCATTGTGGCAAGTAAAAAAGCGTGCGAAAACTTGCAAGTGATTAGTTCACCCAGAGGTAACTGGAGTTTATCCTCAGATAAATCCTGAGATGTTGCACCCTTTTGAAAAGGGAAAACCAATTCTTGGCAGTGCAATACCATTCATGATGGAGCCAGCATGGCGAAAAATTGTTTGAGTTCCTGATGTTCACTGAATTTGAATCAATCCATTGACTATATTAACCCCCAAAGATATATTGACAAGTACTAAATTTCACTAGGTATATTGTTTTTTTTTGACTTTTCGGCATGTTTTTGGGGCTTAATGAATGAAACACACATCACAAAAGTTGCACCACGGCGGCACGCTTCACGCGTTGCCACGGGGCTAGGTATGCTGGCAGCCCAAGTGGCCATGAACACCACCATCGCTGCGGCCACGGGTGGCTTGGTGGTCTTCATTCTGCGCTTGATCATGCTCAGGACGATCGGGAGCCACCATGAAAACTGCTTGGTGGTTTGGAACATGAATTTTATTTTCCCATATATTAGGAACAATAATCCCAACTGACTAATATTTTTCAGAGGGGTTGAAACCACCAACCAGATGACTATGACTTGAAAAAAACATTGTTCGAAGATTACCCTCTGGTAAACTAACTACGGCAAGACCCTATGGTTTGCCTGCAAGGTTAGAATGGAGTTCAAATATTATCCTTTGACATGCTCAAAAACCTGCGCAGGGCCAATGTTTTGGTATTTTCCAGACGACGAACCCTAAACCCCAAAACCCTAAAGCCCTAAACCCTAAAACCCTGAAAACTCTGAATCCGAAAGCAGGAAACACTGCGTATACGCAGTATTTTCTGCAATTTCTCTTCTCATGTTCGACAAAAGGGAATCCTCAATGTTGCAGTCCGGGCAAACCACGGGGTTTGTGCGTAATATGACTGTATATGACTGTATATGATATAATATAATATTATGTGTATATATATATATATTATATATATATATATATGGAAAGCCACCTTTTTGAATAGGTAAATCACATTTATACATGGGCAATGGTTCATAGCTGTGTACTGCAGGGTATTTATATTCTTGGCTGTCTGAAAATGGTGGATAGCCATGCACAACCCTAGTTTTGGCCATTGTAAGATTAATGAACGATGTCAATATGTGATACTGGTTGGTGGTTTCAAACATGTTTTATTTTCATAATATATGGGCTAATCCTTCCCATTGACTAGTATTCTTCAAGATGGTTAAAACCACCAACCAGGATATATAATCCCTTCAAATTGGGGGGGGTACCCCATTTTCAGCTGCAAACCCATATGACATGGCCAACCAGTTTTTGAATATGTGTGAAAAATTCGCAAGACTTTCTTCAACACACTAGAATTTATGAACACTTGAAATCCAAAACGTAAAATCATCCCATCTTCGGCATCCAATCATCAAGCCGAAATCATCCAGGTGTTCTTCCCCCCATCCTTTCTGTCCCGCGCAGGAAATACGACACTGGCGGCTTCTGCAATGGCATCCTGGCAGGCACGAGCGAGCCAGACGGTGGCCATGGAAAACCCGTAAAATCCATGGGGGGGTTCCATCAATGGATCCCAATAGCTGGTTGGTTTATAATGGACAACCACATTAAAATAGATGACTTTGGGGTACCCCCATTTCAGGAAACCTCCATAATATATATATATAATATACAATATATATAATATATATATAATATACAATATATATATAATATACAATATATATAATATATATTGTATAAATTAATGATATTAATGGTGTTTAATGTATTAACTGCTATGGATCATTACACACCATGAATCATTAATGTTCCATTTAACGGTGTCTCATGATTAATGATTATAGAAATGGTGGATTTTCCATTGCTATGGATTACCAGGAGGGTATATATGATAACATATCTAGCAACCCACGAGAAGATAGACACTTGAACTCCCACTATATAGAATGGTGGATACTTCATATACATCTATGGACTTTAGAAAGATGTCACATGGTTTATACAAATCAGATAGTGCCATCTCCAAAAAGACACAATTTTCATCATTACCAACTCCAAAGTAACTAATTATAGAATGACTCTTAATGACTATAGCCATAGTTCTTACCATCTCCAAAAAACAAACTATCAACAGCTTATGAATCATGTTTTTTTTTTTTTTATATGTATTACCATCTCCAACATAACCCTAAAATGAATTCCCAAGACTCACCAGCATTTTTTCGTCGCTCTAAAATTCGAACGGGCGCAGGTCTGGTGTCCATCACAGCACCATGTGGCAATGTGGAGAGCTTCTCGGCCTTCTTCATCGCCATCATTGGGGCCCTGGTCTACCAAGGCTGGTGGCTGCAAGGGTGGCCCAGTTGTTCCTGGTTGGTTCCTGGTTGAGATATGAAATTCGATGACATTTCTATGCGAAACAGATGAATATCCCAAGTGCTTTCGGTAGATGTCATTGGATGATTCGTATGGTTGGTGCTGAAATTACTTTCTTCGAGTGATCCCCACCCTGATCCATTATTCTGACATAGTTTCTGGCATACCATCTGGAAGTCATTCTTTCTGGCATATGTTCCGACATTCTTTCTGGCATTCTATTTGGCATATCTTCTGACATTCTTTCTGGAATTCTATTTGGTATATCTTCGTAGATTTTTTGTGGTTGAGGTCCGGCGGGGAACACTTTGATCTGGAGCTTGTGGTGGAAGTCCGGCAGGGAACACTCTGATCCGGAGCTTGTGGTAGAGGTCCAGGCAGCCAAGCCCTCAGAGGTTCTACCATGCCTGAGGCATGTGCAAGACTGACCCGTGTTGATCACTGCAGTCCGTTGAATTTTCAGGCTAGGGAGGTCGGAGAGGTTGTGCCGTGATGACCTGAGAAGCCGGAGGTGGATTCCTCAGTTTCTACAGGTGAGATTGTGTGAGTGAAACTCATCTTGTTGGAGGGTTGCCTCACTGTGGTTGATACGCCTACATAGCTATTTACCTTTTTACTTATTTAACTTTTTACCTATTTACCTATTTACCTTTGTACCTATTTACCTCTTTATTTACCTACCTACCTGCCTACCTACCTACCTACCCACCTACCCTACATCCATACATCCATGCATCCATGCATCCATCCATCCATACATCCATAGATCATTTAGATCCATACATTCATACATGCATACATGCATACATGATCATACATGCATACATCCATACATGCATCCATGCATACATCCATACATCCACACATCCACACATGCATACATCCACATATACATCCATACATCCATACATACATACATACATCATACATGTATACATGTAAATGTAACATGTGCATACATATGCACATATACTTAGTGTAAGTCCATACGAATCAGATGACAACGGATTGAGCCCATTTGCTACCTGGCTGTAGGTTGGCAATGGATCCTGAGGTTCGCCATGCGGCCTTCTCTTGTGACTTTGATCCTACGCCAAAAGAAGGCCAGGGCATCTCCAACAACTTTTCACCACATGATGTGCCAAGTAAGTGGCACCAGCGTCATCTCGACATCTATCTTCCATACCCCATGCCGATCTTAACAGGCCCCAGAGGCCGCACCAACACTGCCAGCAAACCATGCCGGTATTAAGCGGCCCAACTTAGTAAAACATTCTGTAGGGCCAAGCCTTGGATTGGATGATGGAAGACGGCTGCCTCATCCGAGAACATGAGGTGCTTTCGTCTTGTGATGGATGGACATATGGACCCCAACTGTACCGTCTGCTGCCTTTGGATAGCACCCTATTTTTAAGCCATTGCAAGAACAGGAGGGCTACAGTCGCCCCATCGAGCAGGATGAGGGCATGGGTTTCTTGGATACAAATTTGAACTTTTGGATCTTCACATGAACTAGTTTTTTCAGAGGCGCTCAAATAGCCAGTGACCAACCAGTCAACAAGTTGGCGCAGTTCGGGCAAACCGACTCTTGGCAGACAGTGGCTATGGATATTTGTTCTTTGGTGGTCCCCCTTGTTTTTGTAGCCATCAAGTCAAATGAGTCTTACAAGTCGGGGCCATGACTGTTTGGTTGGAACATCTTTACGTGCAGGACTGGAAGGAAAAAGTGCTGGTGATAACGGCTGTTTCTCCTCATATTGATACTTTCCCAAGGAAAGGGGCAGGTTGTGGTGAACGTGTTCAATAGTTTCATGAGTCTTGGATAAAGGTAAAATGGTTGCAAGGCATGGCTTTGCCCTTCCAATCATCCTTCCTTTTCCAGGACTGCACAGTCGACACAGTTCGACCGGCAAAAGACAAAAGCGCAGAATGGGCAAAGAATGTTGGGCACACCGTGGAAGCGCAAAAGCCGTGCCTCCTGATGGATGCCATTCAGGGTATCACAGACACAGATGTGTCCATGAGGACAAGGATGTCAAGTGGGGCGGATCCAAATATGCAGGGAGCCGAGAGACCAAGATGCCCCATTTGTATCGGTCGGTACGGTACACAAGTGTTTGCAGTGCCGTCTCCCTATATAAACATCCCTCCTTTCCAGGATTGGAAGGACAGCAAAGATGGCAAGGATGGGGCCGATATAGCCTGCATGCCGGCGGGGAACACTGCGATCTAGCGCTTGCAGTTGAGGTCCGGCGGGGAACACTCTGATCCTAGTGCTGCTCAGGTCCGGCGGGGAACACTGCGATCTCGCGCTTGCAGCTGGGGTCCGGCGGATGAGGCGGAGGAGGAGGAGAAGGAGGCGGTGGGACAGCTGACATTGACATAAAGTCTAACAACCCTTACCTGACAAGTGGGGAAAAAAATCAACACTAATAAGACAAATAATGATGAATGTATACTTGCATACAGTCATGATTGAGACGAGACGGCTCTATTGTTGCTCATCCTCGCTATGAATATTGTGATGGTATTGGATAAATGATACTTCTTGAGGGAATCGATTCTTCGCTCGAGATTTAGAGCCCCTATTTTTGCTGGATAAAACATGTTGCATATGGTAGCTCCATGATAACCCCTGTTGTGAACAACTACATCGACATTTATATTTCGGATCATGGCGCATCATGACAACAAGTTCGTCAGCGCGGCGTGATGGATGGCTATTTTGACCAGGAAACATCTGGATTCAACATGATTCAACAGCGATTGAATATGATTGAACCATCGTAGGAACTGGACATCATCGACACAATGACGAATATGTGCAAATGATTTGATTCAAACTGTTGAAATTATCATGAATTATTTCCCCAAACAAAAAACAAAGCATCTGGTTCGGCTACTATCAAGGTTTTTGATGCTGGAAATTGTTTATCATCCCATTGAAGAAACTGTTCTAGGATGATCGGGGTTTTGACCTATACCCTATTGTTCCTGTTGGATTTAAAGATTATTTTGTAGTTTTTGGATATCCGTGTTTAGTTCCCAGACTTGGGTGAATGAGAAATTTTTGTAGGCCCTGATATTTGATGGCAACAAAAACATTGTTTCTTTAAAAAAACCTTGAAATCGAAGCATTAAAGTGACCGAAATCAAAATCTGGATTTGTCTGAGAATAGGTGCCTCCAAAGTTGATATGGTTTAGAACCACATTTACCATACCACAATGGCAATTTGGGGGACATATCCATACATTGGGATGGTTAGTTGGATAGTGATATCCCATTTGACATGTCCTCATTGTGTATCATTATATCATATCCCACGTGTGAATATATTGATATGATATGCGTATACAGTACTGTATATTGTATATAGCATATATATATATATATATATATTATACCTCATTTTCAAGTCCACATCCATGGTTTCCATCATGTTCCATCCATTTTTGGTGTGTGTGTGTGTTGGTGCTTCGGTTTCAGCATGTTTCAGCGCCAAATTCGGTGCATTACAGGTGCCTCTTCACTGTTGAAGAAGGTCAAGGCCATGTGTTCCGTGCAGCAAAGATAGGGAGCGAAAGCACCCCCCAAAAAAAATGTGGATTTACCCAGGGTAAACTCACATACATGGGGAAACCCCAGCAAATGATCCACCTTTTAGTGGTGGATTTTCCATGTCGTTCATGTTTGGGTAATTCCCATGAATTCTCCGGATTTTTCATAGGGTAAGCCTCTACGGTCCCGCCAATTGCGGGATCTTCAACATAAAACAATTTCAACAGTGGATAAACAGTGGATGGATTTCACATGGATAAATCACATGAAATTCCGTCAAAATTTGCGCTGATTAAGTATGTACTGGAGTGTGCATCGGATGTTGGCTGTTGCATGAAACCTGCTAAAACGATGTCATGATTAATCTCATGATTTTTCAGGACCCCTGACATAAACATAGATAAACCAGATAGAAAAACCATAGATAAACCATAGATTTTCTAACGATCCACCATTGATAAACAATCGCCTCGTCAGATCAGTTTTTTCAACAGTTTTTCTGCAGCGGTTGGGTAGAGAATAAGACTGAAAACAATTTACCCTTGGTATTTATACTGTTGGGTAGTAAGGATGTACCCAGCTTAAGGGATTATTACCAATTATTACTGTTGGGTTGTAGAGAATCAATATGAATCAATGATCAATGATTATTACTTGGATTGCATTTTAGATATCAATGATTACCTTGATGTATATATTTGTAGTCACCGCGATGATGTCCGGTTTGTAGCTGATGGATTATCCCAACGGTCAGGCGAACATCGCGATTTAGTTGTTTGAAATCATCATTTTGCATCAGTTGAATCCAAGATTAACCAACAGTATGTCAACCCAAAAAAAAATGCAGAAAATTTATTTGTCCATCTTTAAGAGAGTGTTAAGTCTAAGTTTTTCTCATCTTTTCTGTGTCGAAAAGGGGCGGGGGTTGTAGTCATAGTCAAGATCCACATCAGAAGTTCAACAGCACCACTCAGCAGATCTACCCTCTGGTTATTTAACAGTTTGCCATGGGAAATGGCCCATAGAAATAGATGGTTTAGCGTTCTTAATAGCATGGTGATGGCTTCCATGGCGAACTGTTAGTCATAACCAGATGGTAGTTGTAAACGATGGTATGTTATGTCCCTGCTGAGCCTCGCTGAGCACCGTGGATCTGGAGGGAATTGGATCCAGTGGATTGGGGGTAACTATCCCAAAATTGCCAAATTGGATGGATGCTGTTTCAATGCTGATATTATATATATATATATTATATTATATTATATTATAATATATTATATTATATTATATTATATTTTATGTGTGTGTGTATTTATATATATACACATATTGTTTCTATGACCTAATCAAAGACAAAAATGCAAATCGAATGCAACAGAGCCATTGTCGTTGATCCATGCAACGAGCTGGAAAGTTGGCTCATGATGTTCATGGGGGTCAAATTCCGAGGTGCAGCGAAAGGGTGAATGAAAAAATCGCGCTTTCAGCAAGCCTAAGCTATTCCGTTTAGTACCTAATTGTGATCTGTTCATATCTGTTCCCAGTATCTAATCATAAACATAGATCAAGTTGACACATAAAGCCGACTTTGATCAAATTGCCGTTGATTCCGGCAATGGTTTCAGCAGGCGCTGGGCATACAGTGCTTCTCTGCAGTGATGGCAGTGCTGTTGCCATCGGAGACACTCGGCATGGAAGGTGCGACATCCCACATTTGGAGGAGGAAATGACATACACTCAGATCGCTGGAGGCTTGGATTACACAGTGCTTCTCAGGAGTGATGGCTGTGCTGTTGCCATCGGTCGCAATGGAGCTGGACAATGCAACATCCCACCTTTGGAGGATGGAGTCACATACATCCAGGTTGCTGCAGGCTATGAACACACAGTGCTCCTCCGCAGTGATGGCAGTGCTGTTGCCATCGGGCAGAATGAATATGGACAATGCAACATCCCAGCTTTGGATGAGGGAATGGCATACGCCCAGGTTTCTGCAGGCGGTCTTCATACAGTGCTCCTCCGGAGTAATGGCAGTGCTGTTGCCATCGGAGACACTCGGCATGGAAGGTGCGACATCCCACATTTGGAGGAGGGAATGACCCACACCCAGATTTCAGCAGGCTGGAATCATACAATTGGTCTCCGGCGTGATGGAAATGCTGTTGCCATCGGACGCAATAGCCAGGGACAGTGCAGCATTCCACCGCTGAAGGAGGGAATGACATACACTCAGATCGCTGGAGGCTTGTATTACACAGTGCTTCTCAGGAGTGATGGCAGTGCTGTTGCCATTGGAAAGAATGAACATGGAGAATGCACAATCCCACCTTTGGAGGATGGAGTGACATACATCCAGGTTGCTGCAGGCTTTCAACATACAGTGCTCCTCCGCAGTGATGGCTGTGCTGTTGCAATCGGAAACAATAGATTTGGGCAATGCAACATCGTGCCCCCAGAGCCGGGAATTCGCTATATCAGCGATAGAACACATGGCAGAGACTTAGCCTTACAACTCGAGTTAGTGGGCGCGGGTGATGCAGTCACGCTGATATGCTCCACTTTGGCTGGGGAAGAACGCTTTCGTTTGACTGCACGGGGCACTGATTCGGCCTGGGAGACGCACAAAGGGATTGCGCGTGAATTGAATGTGAACCTTTCAAATCTCCAGCTCATTCTACCAGATGGGCAGCTGTTGGCCAAAATCTGCCGCACAAATCCAGGGGCCTCAGTCGCTGAGGTGAGTCAAAGTACTCAGCAGCCGCAACTGCCGCAACTGCCATAGCTCCTAATAGCTGGCACATCCAGGGGTTTGTGGCTTATCTCAAAAGATGAGCTGACTCCCAGCCCATTGGATCCAATGTGTTGAGACGTGCTTCCAAAGATCATGCCGCTGATGGAATTTTCAAAGGAATCCTTAAATATGATGACATATGTACGGCAAATTCCTGCAGGTTATATTAGACAACATCATCAGATATCATCAGGGACTTAGTTCATCCAGTTTATCCAGTTCTTTGGCCCTGCCAATTGTTGTTCAAATTCTCCTTCTTGTTGGGTCAGATCCTTCTTTTGACCCCAATATCATATTATGTCATATTATGTCAATATATTTCATGTGAAATTAGCATAGCATTATTTCTATTTATTTCTAACATCCCGTAAAAATCATTATCTCTGAAATCCATTGAAATCAAAGAATTGGACGATGGGAAAATCTGCTGGAAAGCCGATCAACCATCAAGATTTTCCCAACAAAGCCAATGAAACCTCCTTAAACCCCATCAAAGCCAATTGAATACCATTGAATACCATTACCCTTTGGTAAACTAACATAACTATGGAAAATCACCATGTTTCGTTGGTAAATCCACTATAAATGACAATTTTCAATAGCTATGTTTGACATAACCAGAGGGTACATCCCTTCAATTTCGACATCCCATAAGTTCATCAAAAGTAAAAAACAATCGCCGGGTTTCTTGCTGAAATCCTCCATATCAATACAACGATTCACATTAATGGTTATTAAATCATATTAAATTAGTTTCAATCCCATTAGCCACCATGTGAAAAAAAAATCGATTTAAACACCATTAGATCCATCATCAAATACCATGAAATTCCATTAAAATCATCATATGTCTATCTATGTCTAAAGTATTCTAAAGTGATTTCTGAAATATCCTGAAGATCATTATCTCTTCCCAAACAATAGAAACATCTCACGCAATCCCATACCTTTGAATCTCCATACGCACTATTAAACAATCCTATAAAATAACATGAACTTCCATTAAAATCCCATAAACATCTGACAAACAATCCCATAAACAATCTCACAAAAACCACAAGTTTTATTTTCGGCAACGATCCTATAAACACCATCAATCTTCTTTAAATCCTATTATATATACAATCCAATTTAGATTTTATTATATCCCATTAAATGTTCTAAATCATGAAATCTCATTAGCGATCAATATCAATCCCATTCAATCCATCAATCCCATATCCCATTCATGAAATATCATGAAATCCCACTAAATCCAATCATTTACCTATCATTTTCCCATGAAATCCCAGTAACATCCCATCAAAATCCAGTGAAATCCCATCAACAAATCATCATACATCATCATATTACGTATGATTTTCCTATGATTTTCTGATTTTCCCAGGATTTTCTGATTATTTTCGAATGAATTTCTGATGATTTCCCCATGTTTTTCTGATGATTTTCCAAGGATTTTCTGATGATTTTCCCATGATTTGCCCAGTGAAAGCCTAAAAAACCCACCATGGACCCAGCGACGCAGGTGGACGACCCCATCGACGCCTTCGCCGTGCACGGTGCCGCGGGCGCCTGGGGCGTCCTGGCGGCGGCGCTCTTCGACTGGGGCAACGGCGTGGCGCCTGGGGCGCGTTGGCGTTTTTTGGGGGAGGGGTTTGGGGTGAGAAAAATGGGAGTTTCATCAGTTTCATCCAAGGAAAATCAGAAAATCATGGGAAAATCATAGGTAAAATGATGATGTATGATGATTTTTTGAAGGGACATGGGATTTGACTGGGGATTTTAATGGGATGGGAAAATTACTCCAAATCATTGAGTTTCATGGGATTTTACCAGCTCCAAACACCTTCTCAGTCGTTACTTGGAACACTCGGGAGTTCATGGGAAAATCATCAGATTTGACTGGAAATTAGAGGGGATATCATGGGATTTGAATGCGTTTTAATGGGATTTGAATCGGAGCTCATGGGAAACTAATTTTAGATATCATCAAGTTCTGGGTATACCATGGTCCCAGTGGCCATGGCAATTTCATATGCAATTTCATATGGAACATCATTGACCAAAGTATTTATTCAAATATGGAATGTCAATGATATTCCATATGAAATATTGGAAATATTCAAATTGGTCAATGAAATTGGTACCGGTTTTTTGAGACATGGAAAAACTGGGAAAAACGCCTGGGAATGTCCTGAGGACCTGCACCATGGCTGGAGCGGTTTCGCATGCACCGCGGACGCAGCTCGCTGAAATTCGTGGCCGAGGTGTTCCCCTTTTTTTTAGAACAAAAAGGGGTGAGTTTCCGGTGTCTTTTTCGATGCTTTTCTTGACTGTAGTTAACAAAAACAATGTTAAAAATACACTTAACTTCGGTTCAACAGTTGTTTGGCCAGTAAAAACACCACTTTTTCCATTCGACATCAGGACAACGGCTGCATCAAGGGAGGCAACGGCGATGCCTTGGCGGCCAACTTGCTGGAGGTCGGGTCCTGAAGATGGAAGATAACAAGTGATTTTTGTGTTTCACATATTGTTTAACATTGTTTAACAGAAATGTTTATAATGTCAATTCAACATAAGTTCAAACTGACTTTTATGAACTTATGTCATATTAGCATGTATGAGTCTGGCGCAACGACGATATTTATTACTGCGATTCATGTGTAATTAGTGTTAATTAGTGTTAAAGGGATCATGTTGATATGCCTTATTGCAGTAATGTTTATGAGTGTTGCAGGGATAAGATACAAACGCAGAAGGACAACAATGAGTTGTCAAATAAGATCAAATCATAAGTGTGATAGATAGCGCCGCAAAACATATCAACAGGTAGTTCTTCCAGTTGCATGATCAAGAAAACCATATAGTCATACATAAGCTTTATTATCAACAATATTATTGTTCGTTTGTTCCAGGTGTATTACTCAACAAGGGGAAACAGACATGGGAACATCATGACTCTTCCATGGCGCCAGGAAAACAGTCGTCACTTGGGGGTCAATTCCATAACATAAATTAGCATACCAACTGGAGTTGATATTCCATAGTTTATTCCAATTTCACATCTCAGTTCTTATGCTGATTTATGCTACTATGGAATAGACCACCTTTCCAGCCTCTTCCATATCGTTTTTGTATGTTTTTGTTGTGATTAACTTCTCACATCTTTGCTTACCCTCTGATAATTGAACGTGGCTCGCTGGAACATATCCTAGAAATATTTGAAATAGAGGTTTCTAGCTGAGAAAATCATCTATAAATGGATGTAAATGGGCGATTTTCCAGTCGCGTTTGAAAAAACTGGAGGGTATCAATGCTCATCCTTGTGGTCAGCTGGCATCGCTATGGCATGACTAGTTGGAGGATTTCTGGAAAAAAGATGAACAAATATGAAAAAAGGGAGGAACTCCAAAATCATCCAAACATGCGATTTCGAAAGATGATGTGGGGATATTTGGGGTACCCCCAATTTTAACATTGGTTTCATCCCAATCCGAGATTCGAAGAAGACCATATTCAGATATGGTCATAGCACCATGTTCAACCAGGGATTTGTAATGGCCAATTTGGGCGAATTCCCAATTTCCATGAAATCCCAACATATTTCCCCATAAACCATAAACATCCATAAACCATATCCAGAAACCATATCCATGATATATCCTCATTATATCCCCACGATATATCCCCATGTCGTAGCCCATGATTCTTTGTGAAACTCTCCATATCCCACCCGATATTCCTGGAATCAGATCCCACTTAATATCCTATGGATGTTCTGAAATGTCCCATGAATATCCTATTAGCAGTTCATGTTCATTCCCCATTATGAATTACCCCCATGTTCTACCCATTAGTTGTTGGATTCATCTCCGATATGGGGATGTGTCAAAAGCCATCACCAGAAAATATGGGGAATAATCCATGAAAATACCAGCTATTTTACCTACGATATCCCAGGTTTTGACCCATGGGATATACCATTTATAGTTTTGCCTCAACTGAGGTCGGTTTTCCCGCAGCCACTGAAACTGAATACTATAGAATCAACAGTTCCGCTTCACCCAATGTGAAGCAGATGATCAGATTACCCTCTGGTAAACGTTTACAGTTCGCGAACTGGAAAATCACCATGCTATTCATGGGTAAATCAACTATTTCGACTGGGCCATTTTCAATAGCTATGTTCGACATAACCCAGAGGGTATATGTCCATTAATTCACTATTAGCCATTAATAACCACCATTAATCGCCATTAATCCACTATTAATCACTATTAACCATAGATATTCCCATATTAACAGATCGGGATCACTGATCACCGCTGGGGTTTTTCGGTTTTTTCGGAGATGTCTCAGGTCATCATGATCTTCCTCTGGTCCGGTGGTTGGCCGCTGGGCCAGAAAAGTTGGTGATATTTAATGGTGGTTAATGGTGATTAATAGTGGTTAATATGGGAATATCTATGGTTAATAGTGATTAATAGTGGATTAATGGTGGTTATAATGGTGATTAATAGTGAATCAATGGTGATTAATGGTGGTTATGAACATGTCTTATGTGAGAACCAGCGCGCTGTCGGGCACCAACTGAGGGCAACCAATAAAAACAATTTAAAACAACAAAAACATGCTTGGAGGGGCCGATTTTGTTTACTTTCATTGTTTTTTATTTATTATTATTTTCCGTTTTTTTCTTATTTTATTTTTATTTCTTTTTTTTTAGTTTTTCTTATTTTTCCTTATGTGTTTTGTGTTTTTTTTGATATTGTTCATGTGTTGGTAGTTTGTTTAAATGTTTTCTTATGTTTTCTGATTTTTTCTGATTGTTCCACCTTCGCAGGCCCAGCCCAAATAGCCACCTACCAACATCCTCATGATTGACTCTGGCTAATAGTGAATTAATGGTGATTACCCTCTGGTTATTTAGCATAGCCATGGAAGCCATGACCCATATAATTTATAGATGATGTACCTATTAAACGTGATGATTTTCCATGGCTATGTTAAATAACCACAGGGTAATATTTAATAACAATGATAATAGGTAATCAATGATAATTAACAATGATAATAGTGATAATCATCATGATAATAATCAAGAAATTATTTATAATATTTTATAAACATCATAGATGATAATAGTAATAATGGCAATGACAATAATAATATGGAATATTGATGAGTATAGTTTGTTATAAGATAGTTCATTCATATGATGTTGGATTAGATGTTCTCACATTGTTTCAAAAAGTGTTGAATCAAAGTGAAACAGCAAATTTAGGGTCATTGAAGTGTTTGGCGCCGTGAATGCCTATGCTTTGTTTCGTGCTTTGTTTCGAAGCAGTCCACTCAAGAACTGTTCGACCCGCCCTATTTCAGCGACATCATGGAAGACCAAGGCCCACAGGATCCCACAGGTGTCGGGTGTCAATCAATTTTTTTCAGCCCCAGCTGGGGGGCCACAGATTTTAGTTTTTTTGTTTAGTCTTAACTATCTACTTCTTGGGGTACTCACAAAATTGACCTATGCCCAGTTGTCCAGCTATTCTATAGCCTCGGGCTTCTCCCTGCGCCCTCCCCTTTTTTTTGTTCGGAGATACCCGATGGAGATTGGCACATGTGGAAAATGGGAAACATGATGATAAAACGATGATAATATAATGGGTTGCAAATCTTGAAAGAACGCCAGATAGTGTAAGTAATTGATAGCAATGGTGGATGGTTTCGAAGAACAAATGGAAATGGGATGAAATGGGGCTGTAACGAACAAGATATTTGGGAAAAATACCTGGCACACAGACATGGATACATGATGATACATGGACGATGGGCCATGGGAGTCACAAGAATTCCTTGGTCATCTTCTCGGTGAAATGGTGAAATGATCTACTTTCAAAGAGGGGGATCTTCCTTGGAAACGATGTTGAACTCACAGGCCATACCCATTATCTATCCCTAAATATCGGGGCATACCCCCGTTTTGATATAAATTACGCCAATCAAAGAATAGGGCACATCAAATCACAATAAATCACATTTGCAAACAGATTTTGCGGTTTTCCCATGGTTTTCCCTATTTTTTTCGGAGGCAGGAAAAGATGTTTTCCATGGTCAAGTTACTTGGCTCATCAATCCATTGAGATTTAAAAAAATATCCAAATTTTACGGACCAAAAATACTGGGATTGACGACCATAAACTGATTCCCATTTGGAATGGATATATCATGCCATAAATGTATATATATAATATATGATTCCATATATTAACTGTTGAACATGCTATATCGTTCCATATCCATATAACATTTTGGTGGTTATATATATATATACCCATGATATTCCCATTATATACCAACTATATATCCCATTTCTTGCTGCTTAAAATGCCCTGAAAAAACCATGTGAAATCACTAGGACTGCGTTGATCTTCTTGCCCTTCCGCGTTTTCCGTCCCTTTGGTTGCGAATCAACCAGCGCGATGGCCGCGATGGTTGACACGGGTTGATGAGTCTACATCCAATGGATTATCATGGATCTGGGTAAATTATAACGACCTCACTGCGACCTCACTATAATCATAGTTAGTAAGGGGAATCATCCCAAAATGGCCTTAATTCAGGTTAGTGAAATATTACAATTTACCCAGTTGGAGTGTCTATAGTTCAGGGAACATCGGAAAATCGGACACCATGCCATGTTGTTGTTTGTTTTCCTTAATTGAAGATGTCCCCGCCCCCAAAAAAATCTGTTTGTAAATTGTAAACATTCTTATAAATGATGGTTGTGGGTCTTGAGTCGGCCGAGGCATTATCCGAAAAAAGAATGGGACATTTGCCTGGCATCGTGCTGAGTCGAGTAGAAATGGATGTTTTTTTGAGGGGAAATCATCCCCCAATGGCCGAAGGTTTTAGCTTAGTGAGTTATGATGAAATTGATAAATCCATGATGAAACTTGGTCAATGATCATATCTGATCATATCTGGATGTTTGCCCCACTTACTGAGAGTTTTGTTGTACCCATTTTGATCAACATTTTCTCCATGAGAACTCCCATGGGTCATGGGTCATCGCTCAGTTTGCCACTCGCCTGATATCTCCCAGGTCCCAGATGTTCCCCAAAAACCATGGGGATAGAAGAATCATCTTAAGTCCAAGGTCCTACATTCTACACATCTGCCTACCCCAAGGAAACAATGTATATATATATATATATACATATATATATATATACATATATATATCCCGGCGGACGGGAAAGTGAGGTCGTGAAATACAGTTGTTTTCAAAAAGTCATCGTTTCGCCTAGGCGAAAACACAATTCAGCGATCACAAAAACTCTGAAATTCAGACGTCTGAATTTGGTGGTTTTCTAGATAAATGTGTATTTTGCCTAGGCGAAACGCAATTTCTGCTTCAAACAAGTTCAGGCATGCTCAGCAAGTTCACACGAACGTTAACATGCCCCACCCCACCCCACCCCACCCCATCATCAGCGTAGCATCAAGAACCTCAGCAAGTTCACACGAACGTTAACATGCCCCACCCCACCCCACCCCACCCCACCCCATCATCAGCGTAGCATCAAGAACCTCAGCAAGTTCACACGAACGTTAACATGCCCCACCCCACCCCATCCCACCCCACCCCATCATCAGCGTAGCATCAAGAACCTCAGCAAGTTCACACGAACGTTAAATGCTCCATCACCCCACCCCACCCCATCACCAGCGTAGCATCAAGAACCTCAGCAAGGTCACACAACGTTACATGCCCCACCCCACCCACCCCACCCCATCATCAGCGTAGCATCAAGAACCTCGCAAGTTCACACGAACGTTAACATGCCCCACCCCACCCCACCCCACCCCACCCCATCATCACGTAGCATCAAGAACCTCAGCAAGTTCACACGAACGTTAACATGCCCCACCCCACCCCAACCCCACCCAGCCCATCAGTAGCATCAAGAACCCTCAGCAAGTTCACACGACGTTAAAGCCCCACCCCCACCCCCCCCACCCCATCATCAGCTTAGCCATCAAGAACCTCAGCAAGTTCACACACGAACGTTAACCATTCCCCACCCCACCCCACCCCACCCCATCATCAGCGTAGCATCAAGAACCTCCGACTCGAAAAAGAAGCGTTTCGCGACCTCAGTTTTCGGTCCGCAGGCATATATATATATGTATTGTCTATAACTGTATAACCATATATACATATAGTTTTATATTGTGTATAACTGTATAATATATATATATATATGGTATATAGTTCAGTATTGTGTATAACTGTATAACCGTATATACATATATATAGTTTAAATATTGCGTATAACTGTATAACCATATATATATATATATTAGTTTAATATTGTGTAAAACTGTATAAATATATATATATATGGTATATAGTTTAATATTGTGTACAACTGTATAACCGTATAAATATATATATAGTTTTGATATTGTGTATAACTGTATACCCACATATACATAGTTCAATATTGTGTATAACTGTAAATCCATATATATATATATATATATATCTATATATAGTTTAATATTGTGTATAACTGTATAGCTATATTTATAGTTTAATATTGTGTATAATTGTATAATCATATATATATATGGTATATAGTTCAGTATTGTGTATAACTGTAGAACCAACGGTATATATAGTTTAATATTGTGTATAAATGTATAACCATATATATATATATATGTAGTGATGGTTACTCCCCGATTCGATAATCTTAGGATGACTAGGGCTGACTGTACTAGTTCACAACACATCGAAGCGAGGTTCATCATCCCATCTGAAACTGTGGGTTGTAACCATGGATAGGAACCAGGTACCAACTGGGAGTAAGTGGGGTTATAAGTGTTATACTGTTTGGTGCTTTGGAACATTTTTTCATTTTTCCATATATTAGGAATGTCATCATCCCAACTGACTTTCATATTTTTCAGAGGGGTTCAAACCCCACTGAATGGGGACTTAAGATCAAGGGTCATTCAGGCCGAACATCTCCGAAGACACACCGTTGATGGATTCCACCGTTGCTGAAAAACCGTTGCGAAGCAATCTCCTCCTGATGCTTCGTGATTGATGATTTCCAAAATTGTGGTTTATGTGATTTTTTCCCAAGTTTGAAATGACATGAAATATAAATGTTGATGATGAAGAGGAGGATGACCGTTTTCTGTCCTCATCCTTTGCGTTCCCCAGGTAAATTACGTGTGTCGGACGAGGACCAGGAATACGGCATTGACAGCGTCACTCGCCAGTCTTGCTACACCAAACTAGTCACTTCGGGGGCGAAACTATGCAATAGAATTAGTGAGGATTATCACAATTCATGAGCTGGGAATTCCTATTAGCCAACCAGCCATCTTCTATATATATATATATACAGAATTAATTGTATATAGATATATAATTGTACATATATATATATATGTATTGAATATACATTTTTTTTTGGAATATTTTGAATTAGTGATGGCTGCATAACCATTCTGATATGGGGATATAGTACATACAAATATATATATATATACAATAAAATGTATATGTATATATAATGATTATGATGGGTATGTAGCCAATGAGGATCTGGATCAGGATTCAACAACTAAAGATGGATCTCTTTTTTGTCGAAGTTGTGGAGCTGAGGGGCTGAGGAGTTGTTGCTCAAACCACGTGGAGCTGGTCAACCATTGTTTCAAAAAATACGAGAGAGAAATGTGAAGAATTGGAATTTTGGAAGAATACCATCTGGTTATGACTAACATAGCCATGGAAAATCCCCATGCTATTAATAGGTGAAGCAGCTATTTCGATTAGGGCCATCTATACCATGACGAACTGTTAGTCATAACCAGAGGGTAGACTCGGTAGACACATCTAGAAATCAAGGGTGGTTTGAGGCATCCAGTCGCTCCTATCATGAACTTTCCCTTCTATGTGCCTCCCAGAAACTGGGAGGCACATCATTTCGCTGAAAATAGTGATTGTTAGTATTACGATATGGGGGTTTCCATAAATGGGGATACCCCAAAATGGGTGGTTTATAATGGAAAAGCCTATTCAAATGGTTGATTTGGGGTACCCCCATTTTGGGAAACCTCCATATTGTTATTCGCGTCATCCTTTGATGCTCGACTATGGTTATCCATTCTCAATAATGACGTGTCATTTATCACATATCATCATTATTAGTTCCCTACAATACGTATCTTGGCTGAACCCTATATAGATATAACTTGAACCCTGGATTGAAAAGCCTAGTGTAATAAGGGGTGGCCCTCCAAATAAATCAAGATGAGTTAAAACTGAACTCCTGGAGATCTCTGAACCATGGTATGACCTCCACTATAGTTAAGTATATAGCCCTTCCATTACTGCTTGAAACCGGTGCTTTTCCTGCAGCACTTAGTTTCAGGTGAAGCATTCGCCGGCCAAAGCCTACAGCTTCTTGGCTGGACAGGGTCTGAAGATTTGGAAATCCACACTCCATCAGCCACTTTTTTGTCATCATTATCCCCATGTCAATGGTCATTAAAAACATGAAAAATGGATAAACAGGGGCTTTTTGGCCATTCTTCAGACACAATATGGCCATATCTCTGAAATGCACTCAGCAACTGGACAGTCATCCCACAGGAAGCACCAAAATAGGGGTCCAGTCCGTCCCGGTAGGAGATCATCATGTTATTGCACGATATCGTGAAGTAAAAATAATATATATATATATATATATATCTGGGTAAATTATAACGACCTCACTGTTCTCCCTCACTGGAAATCATGGTTAATAAGGGGAATCATCCCAAAATGGCCGAACTATTCAGGTTTATAATTTACCCAGATATATATTGGTTCGCTAAAATATCTAATAAATAGACTTGATGATTTGATCAACTGTCCCTAAAGTATCCACATATAAGTTATAAGCGTGGTTTTTAAACCCTCGCAAAAATCAATCAACCACACATAGTTCCAGCATCCACACTGGTTCAATCCTGGGGTCAGCAGCTGGATCACTTTTGGAAATCCGTAATTTTCACTGGCCGACTCTCCATTCTTGTGGCTTGAGTATGGTTGAATTACAATGAATTACATATGTTTCCCAGTTTTGCATATACTTTTGCCAACAAGTGAACTTCCATTCTTTCGCAGAGATCTCACTGTTGTGGCTTCAATCCCCCCCCTGAAAGCTTTCTCGGCCCCAGGCTACAGCGATATGGCCACTGCCCGGGAACCTAATCCGATGGCCAATGGATTCGGTCATTGGGACAACATGGATTTGAGATCATGATGAACACACTAGTTCTTGGCTGATGATTTCAAATCATCCCAAGCATTATTTCATGTCCCATGATGTACCTGTTTTTTTGGTGAACGGTTTTTTTGATGGACAACATTCTTGATGGATGATTGATGATCGTGAAAACGAGAATGGAACATCTTCGGAGTTTGAATCGGTTTTTACCGTCAGAGCAAGCCCTTGGGGCTGAACAGAATGCTGGTTGAGAATTTGCGGGCATCGCCTGGTGTAGCCACATCCAAAAAAAAAATGCTGACCAAAATTGGGTGATCAACCCCAAAAAGATCATCTATTCCAATCATGTTCCACCAGATTTCATGAGATTCTGATGAAACACCACACTTTTTTTGACATTTTACTGATATTTTGCTATGCCTAGACCCCCCCATGGCCATGGCCATGATCCTTCCCCCGGATCACCAAGGGCAGCGCGAGCCCCTCGAGCCCCTCCAAGGGCGTCGCCCAAGTGGCGCCCGGGACGTCCTCGCTGCCCGTGGCCACGGAGAGCGCGCCGAAGCCGCCGACGACGGCCTTCGCGGAGAGCGCCGGAGCGGCGCCGGCCTAGCCACGCCACGGTGGCGGTGCCCATTGGTCGAGTTGTGCGTAGCCAGGGATGGGAAACAGCGAAAAATTAATTGAAGCCCCTTATGGGGCCACAGATTTCAGTATAATTATATATATAATATATTATATAGTATAGATGTTTAGTATGAACCATATTGGGGTACACAATTTTGACCCATAACCATATCTATAATGAAATGGTGATTAATATGGATATGTGTCTATGGGGTATGATTTGTACATCAACATATCAACATATACATCAATGATGATGATCTGATGAGATATGAGAGGGACCATTACCATGATCAGATCAAAAGCATAGACAACCATAATAGCCGGATGATGATGTTCATGCCATTCCATCCCCTTCCAGATGTTCGTGCTATGTTGGAGTTTTTAAATATAGTACTAAAAAATGCAACGCTGGATTGGTTTTGCTTAGACCTTCTGCCAAGTTAGAATGGATAGAACATCTCGAAGATATTTCAAATCACCAGATACATAAAACTGATTTTTGATGCTTTAAGCCCAATGTTTGCCAATTAAACTCCAGTCTCTTAGAGCCAATAATAGACATTCAATATAACAATATTTAACATATCTCATGCCACCCATCTCAAGAATTAGTAGCATGCCACCCATAACATTGATATCATTGATACATTGGTTGGGCCGTTGGGCCTCCGGGACCCCAGGTTTTTCCCAGGTTTTTCCCAGGTATCATCGGTTGGAAACATCGGCACAAGCACAAGTCGGGCAGCTCACCTGTTTTTTTTCCACTTTGGATCGGTGAATCCGTGGCGCAGCCTTTTTCGTGCAATCCTAAGGGTGCAGCCATGCTACGGAGTGTGTGCTGAATTGGGGATAGGAGGGGATAGGAGGGGACCTATCCAACCGTTCCAATTGCGCCCAAAAATCATGACTTATAACTCTTATATAACCAATCAACCAATCAATTGGGTTTTGATCCACAAAAATCATGAAGATGTTTTCCTTTATGCATACCCATGTGTCTTCTCAAGAACTATTGGTGGGCTAAGGATTAGGGCTGAGCAGATTCGCCAAGCGCACCCTGTGTTGGATTGTGCGGGAAGGATGCTGCGGAACCCGAGGACGAGCACATCATTTTTTCGGAGTTTCGATGATTTTAGCACGGCTCACAGCTAAGTGATGGTAGGGGGGAATCATTTCCAAACGACTGGGTTACAGGATAATGATCCCGAAATGATGCTGTCGGGCTAAGCCGGGGTAAGCCCGGGTAAGCCCCCAATCCTGAACAGACATGCCAGCCATGTCACATGCATAATGTCACCCCTTTGGGGTTTTGGAAACATCATGAAACAAAAGGCTTCAACATGGTTCAACTCTTCACCTGAAAAACCGGAACCTTCGCTACAGACAACCCCCAGCACGATTCTGTTCCAAAATCATTTGGTACTTGTATGAGTGATGTCAGAAATTGTCAGAATTCAGGACCAAAAAATAGATCTTGTAAAATTTCTAAGATCCATTGATTTAAGTACAACATGTCCACACATGACCGAGATTTCAATGTGTCGCAGGGGCTTTGATGTTAACAGCTATGGGTCAAAAGTTGTGATCCTTTAAAAGATACACATCTGGGTATGGATCAATACCTATTAATACCATTTTTAGGGGGATGAACATCTATTTACCAGCTATTTTGATGTTCACCAGGGGTACAAGGTTTTGACACACTGCCATCTTAAAGAAGTGCAGACTTAGAGCAGAGCAAAACGACCAACAGAGGTGGGTCATGGTGGGTCCCCGTGTCTCATAACGAGCAGCTTGGCTCGTGACACTTGGCTCGTCCTCGCGTCGAACTCGACACAGAGCGTGACGAAAGTTCCTGCGGATCGTCTCTCTGTGGCTTCAAAATTTTGAATCCCCAGTGTTTGGAGTGGATTGTATGTGTTAAACATATCATATATAACTTATCAAAGGAAGTTTAGTGGGAGAAACTTCCGTGTTACGGACTTTTAGAATGTCAAAGAAAGAGTTAGTCAAAGAAAGAGTTAGTCAAAGAAAGAGTTAGTCAAAGAAAGAGTTAGTCAAAGAAACAGTTAGTCAGGGAAAGAGTTAGTCAAAGAAAGAGTTAGTGAAGAAAGAGTTAGTCAAAGAAAGAGTTAGCAAAGAAACAGTTAGTCAGGGAAAGAGTTAGTCAAAGAAAGAGTTAAGGGAAAGAGTTAGTCAAAGAAAGAGTTAGTCAAAGAACAGTTAGCCAGGGAAAGAGTTAGTCAAAGAAAGAGTTAGTCAGGGAAAGAGTTAGTCAAAGAAACAGTTAGTCAGGGAAAAAGTTAGTCAAAGAAAGAGTTCGTCAAAGAAAGAGTTAGTCAAAGAAAGAGTTAGTCAGGGAAAGAGTTAGTCAAAGAAACAGTTAGTCAGGGAAAAAGGTAGTCAAAGAAAGAGTTAGTCAGGATATATGAGGTAGTCAAAGAAAGAGTTAGTCAAGGAAAGAGTTAGTCAAAGAAACAGTTAGTCAGGGAAAAAGGTAGTCAAAGAAAGAGTTAGTCAGGATATATGAGGTAGTCAAAGAAAGAGTTAGTCAGGATATATGAGGTAGTCAAAGAAAGAGTTAGCAAAGAAACAGTTAGTCAGGGAAAGAGTTAGTCAAAGAAAGAGTTAGTGAGGGAAAGAGTTAGTCACAGAAAGAGTTAGCAAAGAAATTGTTCCCGCAATGTAAATGGGATTGCAAGTGGTGCTGGTGGAGGAGTTGCCGATGGAGTTTTGAAGGAAGTCTCGCACGAAATGCGTTTTTGAGAGATAGCAGATGCACGAAACCCTATGTTTTTCCATACAAAGTGCGTCCCCGAACCTCGATGATCTACCTCTGCGGTGCGACGGGTGCGAGACGGTCTCGTGTGTGGTCGGATCATGGTCGGATCATGGGCGGATCATGGGCGGATCATGCTCGGATCGGTTCCGCATTGTAAATGGGGTTTCAACTGTTTTTCGTGCACGTGTGGTCGACAGAATTCCATTGTGATTTGCAACTGTAGGATCGTTCCCGCAATGTAAATGGGGTTGCCAGTGGTGCTGGTGGATGAGTTGCCGATGGAATTCCATTGTGATTTGCAACTCTAGGATCGTTCCCGCAATGCAAATGGGATTGCAAGTGGTGCTGGTGGATGAGTTGCCGATGGAGTTTTGAAGGAAGTCTCGCACGAAATGCGTTTTTGAGAGATAGCAGATGCACGAAAGCCTATGTTTTTCCATACAAAGTCCGTCCCCGAACGTCGATGATCTACCTCTGCGGTGCGACGGGTGCGAGACGGTCTCGTGTGTGGTCGGATCATCCTCGGATCATGCTCGGATTGGTCTCGGATCGGTTCCGCATTGTAAATGGGGTTTCAACTGTTTTTCGTGCATGTGTGGTCGACAGAATTCCAGTGTGATTTGCAACTGTAGGATCGTTCCCGCATTGTAAATGGGGTTGCAAGTGGTGCTGGTGGATGAGTTGCCGATGGAATTCCATTGTGATTTGCAACTCTAGGATCGTTCCCTCACTGTAAATGGGATTGCAAGTGGTGCTGGTGGAGGAGTTGCCGATGGAGTTTTGGAGGAAGTCTCGCACGAAATGCGTTTTTGAGAGATAGCAGATGCACGAAACCCTATGTTTTTCCATACAAAGTGTGTCCACGAACTCGATGATCTACCTCTGCTGTGCGACGGGTGCGAGACGGTCTCGTGTGTGGTCGGATCATGTTCGGATCATGGTCTCGGATCATGCTCGGATCGGTTCCGCATTGTAAATGGGGTTGTCAACTGTTTTTCGTGCATGTGTGGTCGACAGAATTCCATTGTGATTTGCAACTGTAGGATCGTTCCCGCATTGTAAATGGGATTGCAAGTGGTGCTGGTGGATGAGTTGCAGATGGAATTCCATTGTGATTTGCAACTCTAGGATCGTTCCCTCACTGTAAATGGGATTGCAAGTGGTGCTGGTGGAGGAGTTGCCGATGGAGTTTTGAAGGAAGTCTCGCACGAAATGCGTTTTTGAGAGATAGCAGATGCACGAAACCCTATGTTTTTCCATACAAAGTCCGTCCCCGAACCTCGATGATCTACCTCTGCGGTGCGACGGGTGCGAGACGGTCTCGTGTGTGGTCGGATCATGGTCGGATCATGGTCGGATCGGTCTCGGATCATGGTCGGATCGGTTCCGCATTGTAAATGGGGTTTCAATTGTTTTTCGTGCATGTGTGGTCGACAGAATTCCATTGTGATTTGCAACTGTAGGATCGTTCCCGCAATGTAAATGGGGTTGCAAGTGGTGCTGGTGGATGAGTTGCCGATGGAATTCCATTGTGATTTGCAACTCTAGGATCGTTCCCTCACTGTAAATGGGATTGCAAGTGGTGCTGGTGGAGGAGTTGCCGATGGAGTTTTGAAGGAAGTCTCGCACGAAATGCGTTTTTGAGAGATAGCAGATGCACGAAAGCCTATGTTTTTCCATACAAAGTCCGTCCCCGAACGTCGATGATCTACCTCTGCGGTGCGACGGGTGCGAGACGGTCTCGTGTGTGGTCGGATCATCCTCGGATCATGCTCGGATCGGTCTCGGATCATGCTTGGATCGGTTCCGCATTGTAAATGGGGTTTCAACTGTTTTTCGTGCATGTGTGGTCGACAGAATTCCATTGTGATTTGCAACTGTAGGATCGTTCCCGCATTGTAAATGGGGTTGCAAGTGGTGCTGGTGGATGAGTTGCCAATGGAATTCCATTGTGATTTGCAACTCTAGGATCGTTCCCGCAACTGTAAATGGGATTGCAAGGTTGCTTCCTGCTTTGGCTGCATACGTAATACTATTGTCTTTTGCAGCTGGACTTCGTAAATCGTATTGGAGTGGCTGCATGAAGGCTGCGACAGTGATTTGTCAGCAGATTTTCTCCATTTTGGCGCTAGTGATTTTCCTTCTAAAAATCCTTTTAAAAAGTGCTTCAAAATCGTCTTTTTTTCGCTCTGGCGTCGAGATCCGGTTTTGGAGCTACAATTTCTGACGCCGTTGTGCGTAGTTCTATTGTGT